GGACGGGCACCACGTTCCTGGCAAGTGGTTCTCTCTGCCGTGAATATTATTTCTTCTTATGCTGCCTTTTCTTTTTTGACTTCTCTCCATTTCCTGGTTTCCCCTAAGTAATAGTCACCCAAACAGAAATATCACTTTCCATGCCTTTCTAAAATTTGGCTAATTCAGGTCTGAGTATAATTATTATACTTCAACAGCAAGATTTAGGTAATGCTTTACTTTGGAGCAGTTTAATTCTTTTTTCTTTTTTTAAAGATTGGCACCTGGGCTAACAACTGTTGCCAATCTTCCTTTTTTTTTTTAAGGATTGGCACCTGGGCTAACAACTGTTGCCAATCTTTTTTTTTTATCTGCTTTATCTCCCCAAACCCCGCCTGTACACAGTTGTATATCTTAGTTGCATGTCCTTCTAGTTGTGGGATGTGGGGCCGCCTCAACGTAGCCTGACGAGTGGTGCCGTGTCCGCGCCCAGGATCTGAACCCTCGGCCGCCGCAGCGGAGCGCGCAAACTTAACCACTGGGCCACGGAGCCGGCCCCCAGTTTAATTCTTAGAGCCTTATTTAGCTTCATTTTTCAAAGTGATAATTAGTCTGATCCAAATTTTAAAATAATGACAGTTATTCTTTGTTGTTATTAAATGGTTACCAGGAAAGGGCACCTTGAAATATTAGTAAATGGTAGTACGATATTATTTCTTTCTGTTTCATTCTGTAACTTTAATATTGTTAGTATAACTTAGGACAATTAAGTTTCTGCTGGAAATAATTACTTGATTTTATTGATATTTTGTAATCTATGGGATTCCTTAATGTTGAAATGCGAATGTTTGAGAAGGGTTAGCATTTCATTTAACTTTATGTGTAGGTGTTGTTTTAAGAACTTTTATCTTGTAATGCCAAGTTAACCTGCCAGAAATGGAAAAGTATTGAGGAAATTTTCTCAAAGTTACACTTTACCTTAGTTCCTTGCACAGCAGGGTCTGCAGACCCGCACATCAGCACATCTGGGGGCCAGAATTGCAGATTCTCAGGTGGCAACCCAGACCCCTATTCAGGTTAGTAATTGCTACATAACAAAGTACCTCAAAACTTAGTGGCTTTAAACAAGGATCATTTTTTTTTAACTTTTTTCAGGAAGATTTGCACTGAGCTAACTGCTGCCAGTCCTCCTCTTTTTGCTGAGGAAGGCTGGCCCTGAGCTAACATCTGTGCCCATCTTCCTCTACTTTATATGTGGGATGCCTGCCACAGCATGGCTTGCCAAGTGGTGCCACGTCCGCACCTGGGATCTGAACCGGCGAACCCTGGGGCGCTGAAGCAGAACGTGCACACTTAACCGCTGCCCCATCAGCCGGGCCAAAGGATCGCTTTTTATAGCTCGGATCCCATGGGTCGGGGTGTGGGCGGGGCTCAGCTCTTCTGTTCCAAGGGTGTCAGCTCAGACATTCAGGATGTTTCAGCTGGCGGCTGGTCTAGGTTGAAACGCCAGGAGGGACTTGCGCGAGGGGCTGATGCCTTTGTGCTCCTTCTCTTGGCTCCCATGGCTTCTTGCAGCGTGGTGGCCTCAGGCCGGAAGGGTGCTGCTGCAGAGGCCGCGGTGCTCCAAGCAGGGGAGACGGGAGCCGAGTATGTCTGAAGGCTCCGCCCTGGAAATCCTCCAGCATCACTTCTGTTTGTCACATTCAACACAGTTTTTTAAAAATTTTTATTGAGATAATGATAGTTTACAGCCTTGTGGAATTTCAGCTGTACATTATTGTCTGTCAGTCCTGTTGTAGGTGCACCACTTCCCCCTTTGTGCCCCCCCCTTCCCCTGGGAGCCACTAGTCAGTTCTCTTTGTCCACATGTTTAAATTCCCCATATGAGTGGAGTCATACAGAGATTGTCCTTCTCTATCTGGCTTATTTCACTTAACATAATACCCTCAAGATCCATCCATGTTGTTGTGAATGGGACTATTTTATTGTTTTTTATGGCTGAGTAGTAGTCCATTGTATATATATACCGCCTCTTCTTTATCCAGTCATGAGTCGATGGGCATTTAGGTTGCTTCCACGTCTTGGCTATTGTGAATAGTGCTGCGCTGAACATAGGGGTGCATGGGACTTTTGGAATTGCTGGTTTCAAGTTCTTTGGATAGATACCCAGCAGTGGGATGGCTGGGTCATATGGTATTTCTATTTTTAATTTTTTCAACACATATTTTTAATTCCATAGTAACTTCCAAAAGGGTGTAAATTAGAGTGTAATTGATTACCCAGTTTAAACATTCATTTTCTTTCTCCATGAATATTTCAAAGAAATTCAGTATGAGGATAAGGAATGTTTTGAACCATTTTTGCAATTGAGAGCTTAATGTGTTTAGCCTCTATTTTAAATGGATTTGCCTTAGAATCAGGCAGCAGAAAAGGTAAAGTTTACAGTTTATCCTGTAATTCCTTTACTGAGAAAAAATAATCTATTTTATGTCTATAGATAATTAAGTAAGATGTTTATCAAAATCATTTACTAGAGTAGTAGAACAGTTATTGATTTTGGTTCTTTGCTTCATGAGATTGAGAGACTCTGAAATTGTACTGAAGAAAATATTAGCCTCTTCAGGGAAGCGATTAGATTGAGCATTTCAAGTACTTCACACTCTATTTTAGATGGCTTTTTGAACGCTTTTAAAAGAAAGAAGGATGAATGATTTTATGACGACAAACCAAAAGTAGAACAATTGAATTTACAATTTCCAAAGTGTGTTACATGCTCTGTCTTCTGAAGGATTAAACATAAATTAAAGAGGTTGATAGAGGTGTTCCTGTAGTTCTAGAAAGAGCATAGGCAGCCGTGGAAAAGGGTCAGAACAAGAGACCTGTCCTTCATTTCCTTCAGGTTTGTGTGTCTGTGTGTGTGTGACTGTGTGCTGTGTTGTTTTATGTCAGATTATTCTGTAGCCTGTACTTAACTGGTAGTCATCCTAATAAAGAAGATAATTAAAGTTATTTGACTCTTTGTTTTAATGCAAGAAGCTTAGCATAGTTTCATACTGGCGGGAGTCTGGAATCAGTTGGCTTTGAGAAATCTTGATTTTTGAGGAAGTAAAGTTTCATGATAATTAGCTAATTTTCATCTGCCTGAAGATCCTTTTTTGACAGAAGGGGCATCTTCATTATCTAATTCTAAATGAAGCATCACAAACATAAATTTTAAATAGTTATACCTTCTTCTAAACATTTTCTTACTCAGGAGATAAGACTTTTCAGAGGTTATTGGGCAGAAAACAGCTGCTGTAAAGCTTCTTTGCGTAGCCGCCAGAGCACCTGCTGTCCTTGCTCTCAGTTCTCCAGTTCTGTCGTTTTGAGTTGTGTTGTTGTTATTTTGCAAATGGCTAAGTCCATCAGGACAACATTCAACATTTTTACATGGGTGACACTAAACGTTGAAAGTGCATACATTCGCTTTCAGTCGTGTTGTTTGCAGACCCACAGATCAGGAACTCTCTAAGAAAGGTTTCTAGGACGAAACTAGCCCAGAAGTTACCAGATTAACTATCCAATATAAAACTGTATTTTTCTTTCCTCCCCAGGTTTACCTCCATTTGTCAGTGTGAGACTTTGCATCATTACGATGAGTTGAGTATAGATTTCAGTTAATGTTAGCAGGACAAGACTAACCACCTTAGCATTACACGGCGGGCCCCATAGGTAAGGTTCCGCCAGCCCTTCCGGCCTCTCAGTTCCTTGAAACTTTCTGACCATTTGTCTCTTTCTGATGAAGACTGCAGGGTGTTTAAGATGGGAAGTCTGTAACGGACCTTAAACACACAGGGGGCGCAGGCATTTTATTTAGAGTTGGTTGTTACACAGGTGTCTCTTTTGCTTATCCAATTTTAACAGTGATCCACCCCGGAAATCTCAGGTGAGAGCTCCGACTTTCATAAATTCTGTCCAAGTGGGACCAAACAAGATGTAGGTGAAACTCTTCTGAAAAGTGTTTTCTTGGTATTTTTCATTTAAAAGAATCTGTCACCTTAAGTATTTATTCATCTGCTTTTCGCGTTAGTTTATCTGACATGTATACATAAACGTGTAGTTAGATATTGTTGTAACTGTTCTTTTATCGTCTAAAAGTGGAGAGCACCATTCACCGTGATTTGAGGTGGTCAGTTGTGAGAAGTAAGCTCCTCAGCCCCTTTAGGTGCTTGCTCATCAAGCGTATAGAAAGAACTAGATGTTAAACTTCGTGGGCAGAGAAGAAATCAGTATTCCAAAATCATGCATCGGGATAATATTCTAATGCAGCCTAAACTCACGTTCCTATTCCATTAAAACGCAGTTTCAGAGGGAGCCCTGCAGCGGGGGTCTGCACTGAGTGTGGGGGGCTGCTGCCTGGCGGTCGGGGAGAATGCGGACAGACATGGGTTAAGAGCCAGTCTCGATTTGTCAAGATCCTGCATCAGTGAAAGTGATCTTCCCTGAATGTGTTCGTTTCTCTTGACTCCGCTTGGAGAAATTCAAGTCCTTAAAAAGCTTCTGTGGTTGGCTTCTGAATCCGATTCTGTTTTAATGGCGAGACAGGTCCGTTTGAAAAGCACTGTACCCCTTCCTTTCTAAACAAGTTGTTTAGCTTGTAGTTCGGCCCTTAGAAAGCACATTGGCCTATTTCTAAGAAACAAGTGATATACATTAATAGTATCTAAGTTGGTTCAGGTTTAAGGGAAGCTGGATGTGTATGAAAATAAGTCTTCAAAGCTGATTAATTAGGTGATAATTATTTACATGTTCAAATAAAGTAATAGACAACTTTTTTAAAAGGCATTTTCCAAGAGTTATAAAATTAGATTACATACAACTTCGGAACAGTTCCGTAAGGATTAGGCCTCTTATGACGCTTGGGTAAGACTGCTGAGTTTTATTAAGCAAGTGTATATCAATGTGCTAAGATAAGTGGTCATCTTTTGTGCATGGAAAAAGAAATTGGGATTTATTAACTGTTCTTTCTCTTTTTTTGCCAGATTTAGAAATGGCTATTGCATATTGGAATTTAGTATTATCTGGAAGGTTTAAGTTTTTAGATCTGTGGAACACCTTTCTGTTGGTAAGTGTCCTGCTTCTTGCCGTGTGCACAGCGTGAAGGCAGGGGTGGGGGCTCTTCAGGTGGCGTGGCTGTACATATGTCTAGCCAAAGTGGTAGACGTGGTGTGGTGGTAGATGGAAGGCCCACCCAGAGATCCAGGGAGCCCCCAGGTTGCTGCGCGGCTTTGCCGCCAGCAGAACGCACAGCCACTGAGCTTCAGGCGGGCTGCCTGGGGCTGGCCCACGGTGGCTCGAGGCAGCCACGCATGGCTCCTTCTGGGCGGGGTTTCAGATATCTGCTGCAGACCTTGGCAGCCACCCGTTTATCACCTTTTCTGAGGAACCCAAACTACTTCTGCACTTCCTCTGAGAAAGTATCCGTACCACACGTCTGTCGGCTGATAGGGTTCCAAGTCTGGGCGGCGTCCCATTGTCAGTGGAAGCCCGCCGCTGTGTGTGCTCGTAGTCATGCCATCTGAAAACGTACTTCACGGTGCTCAGGAGGAAAGGAGCGCTCAGCAGGCCCTGGGGAGCGAGTCCTCTGTGCTGGAGGCAGGCGTTCTGGTCGTGCCTGGCCTTGCTAGCCAGACGGGTCTTCCTGGCGTGAATTGTGGGAAGCAGGGGCAGCTGTGGGCTGTTTGAAGTGCACGGGGTACAGCCTGACTCCAGCTGGACAGCCCTGCGCTGGCGGCTGTGCCCAGAGCCCCGGGGTCCCGTCCATGGCGCATGGGCCGGTCGTCACGCGGCACAGGCCCTTTGCTGAGAGCAGGGTCTCAGGCCCTCCTGGGAGCAGGTGGGGAGGCCTGGATTCACTCCAGCAGGTCGTAGGGGCTCGGCTCCAGCACTCAAAGGTTTCGTGGCAGACGCTCCCAAGACAACCTCCACACACGTGCACAAGAGGAGCAGGGGCGCTCCCACCTCACTGTGAGAGCAGCACATGGGGACACCAGGCGCCCGGCAGTAGAGGGCAGGACAGGAATGCAGAGCGCGGAGCAGTGAGGTGCCCGAGTCTCGTTACACACCTCGCTCGGGATCCGTTTAACACAGTGTGCGGGGAAGACACAAGTTGCAGAGGATGATGTATGATGTAGTAGCGGTTAGATAAATGTTGTGAGGCATGAGACAAGCTTTTAAGTCGTTGATGAATCTGTGCGCATGTGCTGTGTGTGCAGAGACGGGCGTGAGAGTGGCGGAGACCGTCAGGAGGGGAGACAGGGCCGTGCTGGGTGTGCAGGGACGGGCGTGAGAGTGACGGAGGCCGTCAGGAGGGGAGACAGGGCCGTGCTGGGTGTGCAGGGACAGACGTGAGAGTGACGGAGGCCGTCAGGAGGGGAGGGAGACAGGACCGTGCTGGGTGTGCAGGGACAGACGTGAGAGTGACGGAGGCCATCAGGAGGGGAGGGAGACAGGGCCGTGCTGGGTGTGCAGGGACGGGCGGGAGAGTGACGGAGGCTGTCAGGAGGGGAGACAGGGCCGTGCTGGGTGTGCAGGGACGGGCGTGAGAGTGACAGAGGCCGTCAGGAGGGGAGACAGGGCCGTGCTGGGTGTGCAGGGACGGGCGTGAGAGTGACACAGGCCGTCAGGAGGGGAGACAGGGCCGTGCTGGGTGTGCAGGGACGGACGTGGGAGTGCTGGAGGCAGGGAGATGAGACCGTCAGGAGGTGTGGAGACAAGGGCTGGGGGTTTCGGCTTTCCTTCTTCAGCTCTGTGTTACTCTCCAGGTTTTTGGTAAATCTGAAATACTGAATAACAAAGAAATTTTTACAAAATTGTCCCATCCCACCCCAAGATCTACCTGGTATATAGAAAAATAAATGTCTCGAAATGCAGCTTACCTGTTTTCCTCAGTGTTTCTGAGCTGTTGGGGTCTAGTGGGGATTCACACTGTCCTCCTGTTTGACTGAAACAGGAGTTATTATCTCTGTATGTTAGATCTTTGGTTTTATTTTTTTAAATATTTACTTTCTATATTTGCTCATTGGCATTGTGTAGCCCCCCACGCTTGTCCCAAGCACTATTATTTATTTGCTTGTTTGAAAATTGTAATACTCAAAGCAGTAAATAAATCAATTCTCCCCAATTTTATATACACATTTTACATAGTTCCTGTTAAAATCCATGCAGGATTTTTTATAGATATTGGCAAGATTATTCTAAAATTTATGTGAAAAGGCAAAGATACTAGAATAGCTAAAACAATCTTGAAAAAAGAAGAAAGTGGGAGAAATCAGTCTACCTGATGTCAAATTATAGCTACAGTAATCAAGATTGTGTGTTACTGGTACAGGGATAGGCACAGAGATCAATGGAAAAGAATAGAGAGCCCATAAGCAGACACAAACATATCCAATTGATTTTTTTAATAAAAGTGCCAAAGAAGTTCAATGGAGGAAAGAAAATTTCAACTTATGATGTTGAAGCAAGTGAACAGCCATATCCAAGAAAAATGAACATTTAAGTCTCACACTTTGTACAAAAATTAATTTAAAATGGATCACAAACATAAATGTAAAATGTTAAACTATAAAAGTTTTATAGTTTAAAAGTATAAAGTATAAAAGTATAGTATAAAAAGAAAAGAAGCATAGGACAAAGTTTTTGATACGTAAAGCCAAGAGTTCTTAGACTTAACACCAAAAGCACAGTCCATAATTTTTTTTATTGAGTTAATGATAGGTTACAATCTTGTGTGATTTCAGTAGTACATTAATGTTTGTCATTCGTGTTGTAGGTGCACCACTTCACCCTTGGTGCCCACCCCCCACCCCACCTTTCCCCTGGTAGCCACTAATCTGTTCTCTTTGTCCACATTTTTAAATTCCTCATATGAGTGGAGTCATACACAGATTATCCTTCTCTAACTGGCTTATTTCACTTAACATAATTCCCTCAAGGTCCATCCATGTTGTTGCAAATGGAATGATTTTGTTCTGTTTTGCAGCTGAGTAGTATTCCGTTGTATATATGTACCACATCTTCCTTATCCATTCGTCTGTTGATGGGCACTTAGGTTGCTTCCATGTCTTGGCTATTGTAAATAATGCTGCAATAAACACTGGGGTGCACAGGACTTTTGGGATTGCTGACTTCAAGCTTTTTGGATAAATACCCAATAGTGGGATGGCTGGATCGTATGGTAGTTCTATTTTTAATTTTTTGAGGAATCTCCATACTGTTTTCCATAGTGGCTGCACCAGTTTGCATTCCCACCAGCAGTGTATGAGGGTTCCTTTTTCTCCACAATCTCTCCAACATTTGTTACTATTAGTTTTAGATATTTTTGTCATTCTAACGGGTGTAAGGTGATATCTTAGTGTAGTTTTGATTTTCATTTCCCTGATGATCAGCGATGATGAGCATCTTTTCATGTGCCTATTGGCCATCCATATATCTTATTTAGAGAAATGTCTGTTCATGTCTCCAGCCCATCTTTTGATCTGGTTGTTTGATTTTTTGTTGTTGAGTTGTGAGAGTTCTTTATATATTATGGATATTAAGCCTTTGTCAGATATATGACTTACAAATATTTTTTCCAAGTTAGTGGGTTGTTTTTTTGTTTCAATCCTGTTTTCATTTGCCTTGAAGAAGCTCTTTAATCTGATGAAGTCCCATTTGTTTATTCTTTCTATTGTTTCCCTTCTCTGAGAAGACATGGTGTCCGAAAAGTTCCTTTTAATACTGATGTCAAAGAGTGTACTGCCTACGTTTGCTTCCAGAAGCCTTATGGTTTCAGGTCTCACCTTTAGATCTTTGATCCATTTTGAGTTTATTTTGGTGAATGGTGGAAAAGAATGGTCAATTTTCATTCTTTTACATGTGGCTGTCCAGTTTTCCCAGCACCATTTGTTGAAAAGACTTTCTTTTCTCCATTGTAGGCCCTCAGCTCCTTTGTCGAAGATAAGCTGTCCATAGATGTGTGGATCTATTTCTGGGCTTTCAATTCTGTTCCATTGATCTGTGCACCTGTTTTTGTACCAGTACCATGCTGTTTTGATTACTGTAGCTTTGTAGTATGTTTTGAAGTCAGGGATTGTGATGCCTCCCGTTTTGTTCTTTTTTCTCAGGATTGCTTTAGCAATTTGGGGTCTTTTGTTGCCCCATATGAATTTTAGGATTCTTTGTTCTAATTCTGTAAAGAATATCATTGGGATTCTGATTGGGATAGCGTTGAATCTGTAGATTGCTTTAGGTAGAATGGACATTTTAACTATGTTTATTCTTCCAATCCATGTACATGGAATGTCTTTCCATAATTTTTTTTAAATGATAAATGAAATTTCAAAATTAAGATCTCTATCCTGCAAATGATTCTCTTAAGAAGATGAAAAGATGAGCTACAGGCTGAGAAAAATGATGTGTAAATCATAAATTCTACAACCGAGCACCATTATTTTTAACTGTTAACAATTTTGTTATGGTGCTTATTCCTCATCAAATTATGCACTGAGGTGACCAGGCCCCAGAACGCCTGAGAGTTACATCTGTGGTAAATGTGGTGGGTTTTTCTCTCCTGTGTTAGGAACATCACAAAAGATCGATCCCAAGGGACACTTGGAACCTTCTGCTAGATTTTGGAAATATGATTGCGGATGACATGTCCAACTACGATGAAGAAGGTACGAGAGGCTGCTGTGCTCCAGGTGACCGCCGAAATGTGTGCACGGACTTCTCCTGCCCCAGGGCGCAGGACAGCGAGTGGGGCCAGGCGGTGGGGTGACGGGCCCTGGGATGCGGGACAGCAAGGAGGGACCAGGTGGCCGGATGACGGGCCCCAGCTGACCCCTGGTGCTGCCCCATCAGAGACATGGGGTGGTGATGATGATAGTATCCACTTCACTCTGTCCTGTGAATCACACAAAAGGACAACAGGGCTTCGTGTTTAGTTTACAAGAAGAAGACGTCCTCTCCAGTGAAGCTTCCAGAACTGGACGTGCAGAGGCCCTGGGGCAGAGCCATGGCGTAGACAGGTGTCTGGAAGCCACTGCGGCAAGTTCCTGATCTGGGGATGACTCAGGGCCGTGTTACCATCGTGCTATTTAAGCTTATTTGGAGATTCCAGCTCATATTTACTTACATGAACATAATCCCATGCAGTCGTCCCCACCCCCAGGTATTTCGAGACACTCAGTCAGGAACGTGTGAATGCCGGCCTCGCTGGGCACCCTGCTGCACAGGGAAGGAACGGACAACCTGCGCACCTGCCCCTCTGCCTCCTTGGTGCCCAGCTAGGAGGTGACCCCTCTGGGACAGGGACGTGCTCCTCCTCCTCTCTCTGTTCTAGGAAGTGAAGGCTCCTCTGGCGGCACTCACAGCCCTGGTGGGGTTGTGTTCTCAGCACTCTCACTGGCTCACATAGAGCAGGCACTCAGTGACAGCACTCACTGCCCTGGTGGTACTGTGTCCTCAGCACCCTCACACAGAGCAGGTGCTCAATGACAGCACTTACTGCCCTGGTGGGGCTGTGTCCTCAGCACCCTCACACCCCTTGCACAGAGGAGGCACTTAGTGACAGCACTCACCATCCTGGTGGTACTGTGTCCTCAGCACTCTCACATCCCTCACACAGAGTTAGGCGAATAGCCCAGCTTTCAGGAGCTCTAGCCACAGTGGGTGAGACAAGGCACATCTACGTGAAAAGGTGCCAGCAGCATAAAGTAGCGAGTGTCTGGCTGGCCAATGATGGTGTCTGAGTATCCTGGGCGTTTAGGGGCCCCTTGGAGTGGGGAGGTGGGCCGGCCTGGGTGGGGGCTTGGCTCAGGAAGAAGATAGCACTCCTACTGGCCAGAACGCCGAGCTTTGAGGAAAGCAGCTGCAGGGTTCAGCCTGAGAGGGCAAAGGGTCCCCTGCAGTTCCTGACAGCTGCGGTGTGGGGCTGCTGCGGTGTGGGGCTGCCGTGAGGACACGCAGGCGGCCTGCCCTGTGCAGCATCCTTGGAGAGGGCCGCGTCTGCAGGAGCACAGCAGTATCCGCTGGCCCTGGTCTGGCCAGAGCAGAAGACACGGCAGCTTCAGCCCACTTGTTAAGTGAAACACAGGCTCATTTGAGTTCTTGAAATGCAAATGTTGGATTGTGAAAACAATGCTTGGATATAAAATCATGCTCTAAAGTGTTGACTTTTTTGAATCTTTTTGCTTTCCTTTAGGGGCGTGGCCTGTTCTCATAGATGATTTCGTGGAGTATGCACGGCCAGTAGTCACAGGTGGCAAACATTCAGGTGGACTAAGATTATGAAGCGCAGGGCATCCGGCGAGGAGACATTTGGTCAGTTGCTGTGCTCGTGTGTCGCTGATGTCGGGAGTCGTCCTTGAAGGGTCCTGAGTGGGACGACCTCCTCACTCTGCGAAGGAAGGTGCCTGGAGTCCCTCAGAGGACGGCTGCCTCGGAGCGTCTGGGGATGGGCCACGTAGCTGTCACTTTAGGAGATTTCTGCATGGTTTTTATATTTATGGAAAAGTAGCCTGGAGCTGTTTGTGGGACAGCAGAGCGCGCTGTTGGCCGTGGTTTGAAGTGGACAGAGCAGTCACCATGCCCCACCGAGTTACCCTAATTACACTTGAAAACAGTGGAGGCGGTTGTATTTTTATACAAGTCAGGTCTGTTAAAATGTGCGCTGAAGAAGATCTTGTCGTGGGTTCTAAGGTTTTTTAAAGTTGATGCCAGGAATTCAAGCTATATATTTTTTGAATTATCAAATATCTAGATTTGCCAGATTTATTTTTGCTTTAGTTTCCTACAGACGGTCATCTGAGAATCACTCCATGGTTTTAATTCCCCGCTGCTGTTTGCACAGCGATGGCACACAGGGTGTGACTCCAGGAGTTTTCTTTTCAACTGTTGACAAGTCAGCAGGCCTCTTTTACTTCTAATAATGTCATTTAAACTTCCTAAGAAGTTTCATAAAGTATGCTTTTTTAAAAAATGTATTTTATCACATTTAAAAAGACTTTTTCCATGAAAAATATTTATGAGTGATGAATTATAGATTTAAAAATCAAGTGAGTGGTTTTCTTTCGATGTCTGAATACCTTAATGTCCCCCTCCAGCCCCTCGTGTGGCCGTATACAGTGGAGCTAAAATACACATCACTGTCCAAAAAACCCCAAGCGGAATCCTCCGCCTCTCCGGTGCAGCTGGGAGCAGAGGCTGTGCCATCAGAGGCAGCCCGCCGTGCCGCCTGCTCTCCTCTCAGGAAGCTCTGAGTGGTGTTTGGAAAATCACTGTGTGGACTCTACCTCATGTTTAAGAGACCTCCACGTCACCAGCGTGCCTGCTGCCCGGCCTGCAGCCCAGGTCATGAGACAGACTAACTGGGCTACTTCACAGGAGAGAGGAGATGCACCTCAGATTTCCTGTGACGGGTGCCTGAAATGCGTCGTTGGATTTGACTCCCAGATGGAGATTCACTCCGTGCTGCAGGAAGCGTCGGTGTCGCCGTGAGGTTTGTGTGCACCTGCTGTGTGTGGACTAGTGTGCCTCGAGAAGCAGTCTCTCAGGGCAGCAGGCCATGGAGGATTGGAAAGGGGGCTGGGGGCCTGGAGACCGCAGGCGAGGCTGCTGCAGGACGCACTAAGTCACGGCTCCCCCGGTCCCCGCTTCCACGGCTGCAAAGGGAGAAAGATCGTCTCCGCCTGCAAGTCTGTGACTCTAAGAGAGCACTTATTTTATATGATAAATCTGACTCTAATAAAAACCTCAATTTTAAAGTATCCTTCAAGGCTTCATGGATTCTTGACGTGTAAGTGTTCTGTTCCGAGAAGGTTCTAGAACCCAGGTAATCCTGTATAGATTATGGAGGTCTGCGACACTTCTTAAGATTTACAGTTTATGGAGAAAAAGTGCTCTGCAGAGTTGTTTATCGATAGGTATCCAAACATTAGTATTTGGACAAAGGCTCTTCAAAGACTCGTGGGTTTCTTTTCCTTCTGTTACACACGTTTAAGTCAGGCATGCTCTGAGAGTGCCGAGAACTTCAGAAACATTAAAATAAATTATTTTCTCTGGTGTCGTGGTGCCGTCCTTTTAATTCTGTTCCCGGACGCTCAGATACTTATACCAGATATCAGGAGAGCCGCCTCCATGGTGAGTGGACCAGGCCCTGTGGGGACCTTCCACCCCTGCGCGGCCTGCCACCCCAGGTAAATGACCACGCCCCAGACGGTCAGCGTCAGTCATTTAGTTTCCTGGTAAGTATCACATAGCGAGCTAAATAGGACTGTTTCCATGTGAAAAATTACAGATCCGATACAGAATTTCCTTGAGTCGATGGGAATTATATACTAGAATACACTGAAATGCAAACTCTAAATAATAGTGAAAATACACAAATTAACGAAACACCATAGCTTTAATAAATACATGTTACCTGTGCCTTCGTAGATGCCTTCCAGGAGTTTCTGGGAGAGACATCACATGCCTTTCTGCCTTAGTGACATAATACACGAGAGATTTAACTTAGTCAAGTTTAAGCGTGGCGTTACATGCATCTCAGACTTCTGGCTCTGTGAGCAGGGGTAGGATTTTTCCTGTTTGTTCCTATATCCACAGCTCGCAGCACACGGTCGGGCTCAGGAAATGTTGGATGAACAAGTCAGTGAACTCCTCTCGCCTCTTGCTGTTTGCTGACAGAGGCCAAATATTGGGGAGTTGCTCCCAGCATCTTCAGGAAAGGTTTCCACCGCCTCAGAGGCAGCAGAGGAAACTGCCCTCAGCAGTAGATGCTCCTGCCGAACGATGCTGTCCTGCCTCCGACGGTGGCCGTCTAAATGACGGGCGGCTCTGTCCGTCTGTCCTGTTGGGTCGGGAGCCTGCATACCAGCAACCCAGGGCCCTCTGGGCTGTTTGAAGGACTCTGTCTCAGGACCTCTCAGAATCGTGCCAGCTGGAATCATGTTCCAGCCTCGTTTTGTTTTTTTTTTTTAAGATTTTATTTTTTCTTTTTCTCCCCAAAGCCCCCTGGTACATAGTTGTGTATTTTTAGTTGTGGGTCCTTCTGGTTGTGGCATGTGGGATGCTGCCTCAGCATGGCCTGATGAGCAGTGCCATGTCCGTGCCCGGGATCCGAACCAGCGAAACCCCGGGCTGCCGAAGCCGAGTGCACGAACTTAACCACTGGGCCACAGGCCAGCCCCTCCAGCCTCGTTTTCAACAAGTGCTGCCCCAATACTATATGTCCATTTAAATGCATCTCAGTGTCTTGTTATTAGCGAAAGAGAGGTTTTTACCAGATGTGTTAAGAAGCCCAGGTGAGACATCCTCCCACCTCTGGTCTGATGTGCAACCAGGCCCCCGGGGACCCTGTCACTCTCCAGGGCTGGGGGGCAGCCAGAGGCACTGCTTTCCTAACTGCTTATTTCAAATCAAGATCCGTGGTTTACACAAGTAGAAGGACCTACAACCAGAATATACAACTATGTACTGGGGGGGCTTTGGGAAGAAGAAGAAAAAAACCAAAACAAACCAAAGAAGATAGGCAACAGATGTTAGTTCAGGTGCCAATCTTTAAAAAAAAAGATTCATGGTTTACATGTTCCGCCCCACCCCCCAAGGCCCATCTGGTCTTGAATGGCGAGTGTTTCAATGCACGAAGCTTAACGATGGTGCCATCCCGGGTGCCCCCAAGCCTTGGCCCATGCCCTGGCCCACATGCTCCATTCTGCAGTCTGGACGCTGGATTGAGAGGCCGCTTTGTAACCTTTCACACTGGGCTGGATGCTCTCTCTCCTTTACACTTGGCGTTTTCTAAGTTTTGTATCAAACACTTTATAATCAAAAACCAAGTTTTCTAAAAAAATAAAACTGTGCATGTGATGGATGAATCTCAGCATTATGCTAAGTGAAAGAAGCCAGGTGCAAAATGCCACACGGCGGGTGATTCCATTTATTTGAAACTGTAGAGAAGGCAAAGCCACAGAGACCGAGAGCAGATGAGCCTGGTGGGAGCAACAGGGAGCAGGTGGGCAAGGGGACCGGACGATGGGGGTGCTGAGATGGCTGAGAAGGTTGCACTGCAGCACACATTTGCACGAACTCATCAGGCGTGCCTGGAACGTGGTGAATTTAGTGTGTAAGTTCCACTTTAAAGCTTTAGCAGCGTGTGCACCTCTCAGGAACACTGTGTGAAGGTGGCTCCTTCGCCGTCGCTGCTCTGTGAGCGAGCATCTGGGGCTCTGCCTGCCGGCTGAGCCACAGCTCCTCCATCAGGACACAGAAGGGAGCTGACGCCCTCCGCGGGCTCTCCAGAAGGTGCTGTGAGCTGCGGGGCTAGAAAGATTTTCTCTTTGGTGCCACCTGCAGAGTCAGAAAAGGAGTGCCTGGCCATTCCAGGAAGCTCCCGACAGCAACACAATGACCAAAATAGAGGTCAGCGGGGCAGCCTGAAGCCCGCCTCCGCCACCCTGAGGCCACAGAGCTCCGCAGCTGTGCATGCAGAGGGGCCGCCTCCCAGGATGGAGAAGTTTCAGGCCGCGATGCTGCTGGCGAGTGTCGGGGATGCCCTCGGTTACAGAAATGCCTGTGGGGAGACCAGCGTTTCAGGCACGAGGACCCAGGGGGAGCTGCACAAAAGCGGGGGGCTGGACCACCTGGTGCTCTCACCAGAGAAATGGCCGGTGAGCGACAACAGCATCATGCACGTGGCGACGGCCCGGGCACTGACCACAGGTAAGACGTGGCCGCACCCTCGGCGCCGGGTGAGCCGGGCTCTCACCATCAAGGAGCACCGAGCTCTGAAGACGGACAATGCAGCCTTCAGCCATGGTGTCACCCGATGCCGCTGCTAAAAGTGGCCATTTAATACACGCCGGCGTGGCTCGGCAGATGGGGCGCAGGCGGGCTGCTCCTCTGCCGTTCCTTCGTGTGACGGCCTGGTCTACCTTCTTATCCATGGGTTTGCTGGCTTTTCATTGTGTTGGTAAAATGTTCACTAAGCTGAGCTGTCTGTCTCTGGAGTGAAAACCAATTAAATCTCTCGCTGTGGAGTTGTTTTGGGTGAGGGGCTAGCTTTTCACTACAGATGTTAAGGTTTCTTCTGAATTTATTTCAAAAGAACATAAGATAATAAGCCAGTTTGAAATTTGGACCCATTAAAGTAATGTTGTTTGGAGATTACTTCTAAATTCCAATGAATTCAGGTTAAAATGCCATCTATCAAAATAGGATTTAGATTGGATAGTTCCTTAGACACAAATATGTCCTAAGAAAATGTGATAAAATCGGTTGGATTTGGGGGGGAAAACAAAGTTTCTTGAAATACTCTTTAAGTAACAAGTTGATTCTAGGATTGAAGTGTTTTTATGTGAATTTCGGAGAAACAGCAGGTGTGTAATAGGTGGCACAGCTTTCCTGTAAGTTACTTGCTCTTTAAAAGCCTGTGAGCATTGCTAGTATGTCATCACAAAATGAAAATCCGAAGGCAGCTGACAAGTCAATGAAGCTTCGGTTGCGCGCCCCCCGCCGCCCCGTGTCTGCTGCGAGCGCTCGGTTTAGCTCTGTGGTCATCGTGCAGGAATGCCGTCCGCTCCCTGGCAGGTTCCTAAATAACTCAGGAGAGCACCAGAGCCCCGCAGATAAGATAAAGGGTCCGGCGGCGGGAGGTGGCTCGGCTCCATGTCTGCACAGCTGTGAAGGCCAAACCCGTCCAGAGCCCGAGGTCCCCAGGCCGGCTCTCCCGGGCCTTTGTGCTGACAGGACCCACAGCGTTCTTGCTACCCCGGGGCCTGCGCGGAGCTCGGCGTGTCCTGTGCTCTGGCTGCACCGCTGGCCCTTGCTCGGGGACTGTGCTTCCGTCCTTTGTGTCGGATGCACAGGTACACACCCACACAACCCACGCGCCCTCTGCGTGCTGCCCTCGTCCCCTCGAGCCCTGCTGGACGGCAGGATCCAGGGGCACTTCTGTCCTGTGTGGTGACCCGGGACTGTCTCCTGCACGGCACGTGTGCTGTGGGTGCCGTGCTTTCTGAGCTCAGGTTGGTCAGGTCCTCTTGGCAGAAATAGGACATGGTCACTCCCCGGTGTGAAATTTCTGCACCGAAGGGGATTGGGGACATTTGGGGCTTTGTTTCCAAGGAGGAAGATGAGTTCCCTCTACGGGACCACACCCCGCTGTGGGAGGGGGTGGCCACCCGGGCGGCAGCCTCTGGCTGTGGGTCACCAGGGGACCCTGAAGCCACTCTTCCAGAAGCTCAAGCACATTTTCTGCCACTCACTAAGTTGAAATTTCAGTTTAGTTTTCAAACAGCTTCTTCCTTCTTGAGAGAACAGATCATAGTCTCCAGAAGGGCCTCTGAGCCACGTCAGTAATGGCGACAGCCAACCTCACACAGCACAAACGGTGTGCCAAGCACTCTTCTGACTCCCCATCCATCATCATCCGAGCCTCGTGCCACCTGAAGGTTGACTTTGTTATAGTTTTACAGACAAAAGAACCAACTCACAGAGAGGTTAAGTAACTTGCGCATTGCCACATAGCGAAGTGAGTGTCCAAGTAGGGACTGGACCCCAAATAACCTGGCTCCAGCGCCTGTGTTCTTGAGCACTGTCCCCACCCCCTCAGGTCACTGGCCATGCAAGTATTTCAAGGATCCCAGTGGACATCTTCAACATGTTTTCCAAAGACAGGCAGACTTTACAAAGTGGAGCTGCATCTTGGCACGTTCGAGTAAGTTTCCCTAGTAAGTGCCTGAGGCTGACAAGCCACGTGGCTGTGTGGCCTGCCATCAAGCAAGTGTGGTGCAGACGGCTAGGTGCTGGTGTGACATCCTGCTTCCCGGCGTATCTCTGAAGAGCGTGGTGTTGGACGAGAGCAGACTTACCAGCTCCTAGCGTCCAGCACCCAACAGGAGGTGGGCAACCCAGCATGCACAGCTGGTGGGCAAGGAGCTCTCAGCCACGCTCCCCGAAGGCTCCCATGTACGTGGCCCCATGTCCGTCACCCGAGAATGAGGGGGCTCACCCTCGGGGGCTCTGGAGCCTTGGGCTCCTAGTCTCCACCCCCCCATTACCAGCTGTGCGCCCTCTCTGAGCCTTGCTGTGGGAAGGTAGCGCCCTCGTCCTGGGGTCACATGAGGGGTCAGTGGGACAGCGGAAGGAAGTGCTTAATTTCTAGGGGGAGGCTGCACCTGGCGAGGGGGCCAGTGTCTGTCTTTCTCAAAGTGACCAAGGTCAGCGGCTCCAGCCGTCATGGCCGAGCACAGTGCCCGTGTCGCTGCTGCTGCAGAGGAGGAAGGGGACCTTAGCCCACTGGGGACGGGCAGCGTGTCCACACCCTGCAGGGAGGGCGGGGCCTGCCCCGTGTGGCAGATGAGGCCGCTCCAGTCGCTCTTCGTTTCCCTTCCTCCATGCCGGCCCTGATGGCAGCGCCCTGAGAAGCTGGGGCTTTGGTGCTGAAGTGGCCTGGCCTTGGGATGCGCCTTGAGACTCGCGGGTGGCTTCGTAAGCTGGTTCGTCTTTCAGGGGCTGGCAGGCGAGGTGGAGAAGGGAGCTGAGGGCCGAGTCACGGGGTTGAGGAAGCCGGCGCGAGGGCCGAGGCTCTGCAGCTTTAGAAAGTCTGTTTCTGGTTTAAATTCTGACTGGAGCCAACACAAGGCTTTTGTTGCCATTTTGATGTCAAGGAGTTTGTCGCCTTCAAAAAGACGTGATTTCAGAACAAATGAATTATTTTAGGGCACTCTGGAAGGGCCAGACTATCAACCCCTGACTGTCACTGACCGTCTGGGCCCCGCAGAGGTCCATCCTCTCCTGCGGGGTGACTGGGGACCCCCCTCCCGGTGACAAGCAGGACTCACTCCTCCCCACCCAGGGTCTTCGACACCCTCTCCGCCCCACACCCGGAACTGGGCCAGCGCGGAGTGTGTCCAGTGTAGGAGCAGCAGCCGAGCCTCAGGGATGTGGACACCAGGACTTAGAGCCACTCTTTCCACCAAGTCCTACCCCCAAAAGGTCACAGCTCTCGGCCGCGAGGGTTCCCCCTGCCGGAACCACTGCCAGGACCGAGGCCATCGTCCTGGAGCAGGGAGAGGTTGCCTGGTGCGGGGCCAGCGCCCTCGCCCTCCGGGTTAGGCCTGGCTCGAGGCAGCCTGCGGAAGGCTCTGGTGGGTTTTCATGCCATCAGCCCTCCACTGCCTGCTTCAAGCGCTCTCCTGTCCCCCCACAGCCCAAAGACAGACAGACAGGGAACTTGCCCCAGGGAGGGGCAGTAGCTGCAGGCCAGGATGCAGCTCCAGTGCAGAGTGAGTCTGTGGAGGCTGGAAAAGCTGTGCTGACAGGTGTACCCGTACCTGCCTGCCGCGCCAGGCGCTGGGGCCCGCCACTGCCCAGCCCTGCTCTCCGTGCGACCAGGCAGCATGGAGCCCAGCTTGGAGGGTGGTGGCCCCCACCCCAAGCTGTGGATTGATTCAATGGCAGTGCTGTGGATGCGATGGCAGAACGCTCAGGCTTCACAGCTGAGACCCCTTTGGGCCAGTCAGGAACCTCCCTGAGCCTCATCTGAAAGAAAAGGACAATGACGCTGCTGTGGGAGGGTCACATGAGATCACCTGGGTGCAGATGGTCCCAGGTGCATGGCCGGGTGGGGGGCGGCCATCGGTGGGCGCCAGCTCCTCTGTCCCCTGAGCCCTGTAATCTGCGAGGGACTCGAGACCACACTTGTTCCAGGCCCTTCGCAGTCAGGGCCGAGGCAGTGGCTCGTCAGGGCTTCCACTCAGCTGCACAGGGAGGGAGCTGGAGACGGGAGGGGGTCAGCTTCCCTACCTTAGACGCGGGTTCTTAAAAGCCCCGGGGACAGGCAGCTTTCAGTCCAGTTTGTCCTCAGGAGGATAGAGCCATTGGCAGTAGATAGAGAACCATGGGTCTTTCTAGATTCTCACGTGTAACCAGAATAATAAAGCATGACAACTATAATGTGTGAAATCTAAATGAAATTTAAAGGGGGTATTTGTCTGCGTGTTAAACTTCTCCAGGTGGCCGGGGTTGTGTGAAACGGATCACCAGAATCCTCCTCCTCTCCCCCCCACTGGGCGTGTTCTCGCTGTCACGTCTGTGGTCACTGCTGCGTCGGGGTTTCCGGGGCGGCCGTCCCTGCCGTTCTCTGACCTGCCCCTCCCGTCCGCAGACTACTGGTGCCTGGATGACCTGTACCGGGAGATGGTGAAGTGCTACGTGGGAGTCCTCGAGAAGCTTCCAGAGCACCGGGCCGACCCAGCAACCATGGACGGCTGCTCGCAGCTGAAGCCGGACAACTATCTCCTCGCCTGGCACACGCCCTTCAACGAGAAGGGTGAGGGGACGCTTTCTCTCCCTCCAAGCTGCATGGCTGGAGAACCACCGCGGAACACTAACCCATCCGTCCATCCCACTAACCCACACGCGGCAGGTTTGCGTGAGCTGAGAGGGATCTGCCCGAGTCCTTTGTGGGGCAGTGTGCCGCCCGGAGAGCCAGCCGCCCGCCCGGGCGTCTGTTCAGAGGACGCCAGCTTCCCCGGCACTTTGTCTCTGATCCCGGGCTTATTCGATGGAACATTTTCCACTGCTTTCCCTTTACTTTGTGCTTTTTCCCACAACATCAAGGAAAACATAAACCACCTGCACAAATGTCTGTGTCCACAGTGATTTCACGTGCTTGCAGGGTGTCGCAGGGAGCCACGGTCTCTGCCTCCAGGGTGTCTGCTTCTGAGACCCCGGACCTGTCCCCCTGAGCATAGAATGAGGATGCACCTGTCCCTCTGGGTGTAGACTGAGCATGTACTTGCCTCTGTGGGTGTAGACTGAGCATGCACCTGTCCCTCTGGGTGTAGACTGAGTATGCACCTGTCCCTCTGAGTGTAGACTGAGCGTGTACCTGTCCCTCTGGGTATAGACTGAACGTGTACTTGCCTCTGGGGGTGTAGACTGAGGGTGGCCCTGCCCCTCTGGGTATAGACCGAGTGTGCACCTGTCCCTCTGGGCGTAGACTGAGCATGCACCTGTCCCTCTCGGTGTAGACTGAGGGTGGCCCTGCCCCTCTCGGTGTAGACTGAGCGTGCACCTGTCCCTCTGGGTGTAGACTGAGCGTGCACCTGTCCCTCTGGGTGTAGACTAAGGGTGGCCCTGCCCCTCTGGGTATAGACTGAGTGTGCACCTGTCCGTCTGAGTGTAGACTGAGAGTGGCACTGTACCTGCGGGTGTAGACTGATTGTCTCAGCAGACGGGCAGGTAGACCGCAGTAGATTAAAGATGTGTGCTATACCCAAGAAACCACTCAATAACAAGGCAATTACAACTAGCAAGCCAAAAAGGAGATAAAACTGGGTTATTTTAACAACATTTGATGGGTATGCTGCCATCCTGTGACCTGCGCTTCCCTGGGCCTGCCGACCAGTGCCCAGGGCCTGGAACACCCTCCTACAGAACAGGTATGGCCCCTGTTCGTCTTCCTTTTTGGGAGAAGCCTTCCCTGTCCTGGGGCCATGGTCTTCCTTGCACTGCTTCAGTGTGAGCATCCTAAGCGACTGACCAGACCACCAACACCTCCACCCTGGGTGAGAGACGGGGTCTCCACCTGCAGCAGGAGAGGCTGCACACCTTAGCCTGGGAGGGACCCACTCGCCCTGGGAGACCAAGCTGCGTCTTCTCCTTGTTATTAGAAAACCTTTCTCCAACCCATGCCCTGTGCAGAGTCCTCCCTGGGACCCTGACCTGTAGAGGGTGCCGTGGGCCGAGGTCTGGGGCTTCTCCTGTGGGGGCTGTGAGGGTCTTTCCAGCCTCTGCGTGGTGGGAACCTTCACCTGAGACTGGTAGCTGGATCTTCCTGCTCCGTAATGCTCAATCCAAAAAAGGCAGAAGAGAGACAAGGGTACAAGTAGCAGATGGGACAAGTAGAAGCAAATAGCAAGACGACAGACTTAACCCCGACGCTGTCAACACTCACGTCCAACGAGACTGGTCCAGAAACCCTGTAAAAGGCAGATGTTTGCGTGGGGTGGAGAAGCGAGCCCCAAGCGTGTGCAGTTCACAAGAAGGCACTTTAGATGTCCAGAGACACACGGGTGAGCTGGAACGAGGTCGCCGTGTAACCAAACAGAGCGAAGCTGCAGTGACTCTCTTAGCAACACGTAAAGTAGGTTTGGGAGCAAAGAATCCTGCCGGGAAAAGAAGGTCATTTCATCATGACAAATGCACCCATTCATCAGGGACATTACAAACCTCGTGTTTATGCACCTGATAACACACCTTCAAAACATAGGAAGCAAAACCTGATAGAGTTGCACAGAGCAGACACGTCCACAATTATAGGCAGAGATTTCCCTTGCAAGGTCTCAAACCAATGACATCAGTTTTCACCTGGAGAAACTAGAGGAAGAGGAGCAAATTGAACCCAAAGAAAACAGAGGAAAGGAAGTAACGAAGACCAGAGTGAAAAATCAATGACGCAGGAAACAGAAAAACAACGGAGAAACTCACCAAAACCCAAAGCTGATTCTTTAAGAAGGTAAAAAAAAAAACACCCTGATAATCCTCTAGGCAGACTGATCAGGAAAAAAAGGAAGACACAAACGACCAATGTAGGCGACATCACTGAAGATTCTACAGAAGTTAAAGGAAAATAAGATGATATTATTAAAAATTTTATGCCAATAAATTTAACAACTTTGATGAAATAGACAAATTTCTTCAAAGACACAAACTACCAGAAGTCACTCACGAGGAAGTAGATGGCCTAAATCGTATAATATCTACTAAAAAAAACTCCACATCCAGCTGGCCTCGATGGGGAGTTCCACCAAACACGCAGAGGAAATAGCACCAATCGTACACAACTCTTCTGGGAAACCGAGCAGGACAAGTACTCCCAAATTCATCCTTCTGCTCTCCAGAAGCTCTGTCAAAAGAATGAAAAGGCAAGCCACAGAGTGGGAGAAAATATTTGCAAAGCATATATCTGATAAAAGATTTGAATCCAGAATGTATAAAAGAACTCTTAAAACTTAACAATAAGGAAACAGCAGCCCAATAAAAAAAATGAGAGAACCAGACAGGATACATGGGTGGCAAATAAGCACTTGAAAATGTGCTCAACATCATCAGTCATTAGGAAAACGCAAAGTAAAACCGCAGAGAGATTCTGCTATATACCTAAGAGCGTGGCTGAGGTGACGGAGGCCGCCCACAGGATGTGGAGCAGCTGCCAGGGGCATGGAATGGCACAACCACTATGGAAATCAGTTTGGGAGTTTCTTAAAAAGTTAAACATTCATCCACCATGTGAGCCAAACTTCCCACTCTAGGGTATTTACCCAGGAGAAAGGACGGTGCGTGTCCACACAGATTCAGTTACGAAAGTTCATGGTGCCTTTACTTGTACTAACCCGAGACCGGAAACAACCCAAATGTCCACCAACAGGCAAATGGATAAGCGGTTGTGGCGCATCCATGCCACTGAGTCCTATTCAGCAAGAAAAGGAGTCAACTATCGATACACAGCACCACGGACGAACCTCAAAATAGTCACACTGAGTGAAAGAAGCCAGGCAAAGAGTCCATTCTGTGATTCCACTTATGTGAAACTCTGCAAAGTGCCAGCTCTTCTGTGGCGCCAGATTGGTGTCTGGTGGGCAGGGGGCACGAGAGAACTTCTGGGCGATGGGCGTGTTCCCCACCTTTATTTCAGTGCCGGTTCACAGGTGCATCACGTGTCAAAACTCATCAAGTTGCAGACTTCACGTGTGTTTGGCGGTCTTGTCGTTTATAGCTCCACGAAGCTGTTGTCAGAAAGTGTTGATGATTGCCAGAGTGCTGTGGGACAGTTCTACGCTTTTGCCAAGTAGGAGCATGTTATGAGCATTTCCCATGCCACCAAAAATTCTGCTTTTGATGGCTAAATACCATTCCAGCCCATGGATGCATGGCAATTTATTTAATCTCTTTTCTTGTCAGTCATTTGGATGGTTTGCCTACTTTTTACTCATTTAAATGACACCATGATAAACACGTTATTACATAAATTTTTGTAAATTATCAGATTATTCACGAAAGCTGAATGGCCAGAGGTGGAATTATTGGAGCGAAAGTCTAAATTCGGGTGTTTCGTGCCCCCTGCAGGTTCAGGATTCGGAGCTGCCACCAAGGCGATGTGCATCGGCATGCGGTACTGGCGGCCTGAGCGGCTGGAGACCCTGATCGAGGTCAGCGTCGAGTGCGGCAGGATGACCCACAACCACCCCACAGGTGAGGCAGGCAGCCCAGCAGGGCCTGTGTGTGGCTCTCTGCCCGACAGACTGGACCGGAGCCTCACGCAGTCACACACTTTGTTTGATTGGATATTTGCTGGCAGACTTGTGTTCTTTAATCTTCAGTTCTGCTTAAAGTCTGTTTTCAACCTCAAAGCAGGGTTGGCGATAGGCGTGGTGATGTTGGAGGAACTGTGTCAAGGCAGGACTCCTCACCGGTTTCGGCATCATTCACGTCAGAATGAAAGAGAAGGGGGAGCACCAGTTCTCCGCAGGAGGCTGGGGTCTGGGTGGAAGCCACTGGAGTTAGCGCTGGTGTCGTTGTGTCAGCAGCCCGGGGTTGGGCACCGTGCTGTGCCGGGGCTGGGGCTCGCAGACAGACAGACCCCTCCCTGGCTGTGTGAGCTGGACCGAGTCACTTCACGGCCCGTGCCTCTTTTCCTCACCTGCAACATGGGGATGATTATGGAACAGGAGCCGTGCCTACCTAGTGTGTGTGGGGACAGAGTGAGTGGAATAGAGAACTCAGCACATGCCTGCTGCACGGCGCGGGCAGCGGGGCCAGCTGCGTCCTGGGATTTCCCATCACACATCCATCACACGGGGGAGGGCAGGCGGGCGGCCCAGCGCCTGACTGTGAGACATGACTTAGAAAAGCAGTCAGCTCCTAATTCTAAAAAAGAAGGATGACTTGACACTCTTATACCTGTAACCGCCCTTAAATCATGGCCAGCGGGGTGACGTGCCCCTCCCCAACCCCCACGCGGTCTGGAGGCCGCCAGCTGCTCTCCGGTGACTGCGCTCCCCTTTCAAGGTCACCTTTGGTGTCCATTTTAGCTGGTGTCGCTGGCCGAGGCTGCCAGGGGGCCCCGTGTCCTCCTGGAAAGCACGCTGACGTGCAACACGGCTCCTGATGAGTGGATGTCACAAAGTGTGCCGATGAGTTCACCCGGGCGGTGACAGCCTGAGCCACGAACTCCACAAATAAGTTCATTAAATGTTTAAAATTTAAGCAGAGAGGCGTACAGTTCCACCAGGCAGCATCCTGGGTAGTTGGAAAGGAGTCAGCGCTGGGCATCTGCTGATTAACTGGTTCAACTAGGAGCACAGGAAACATCAAAGCCTTCGAACACGAAAACGTGAGCATTTGGAAGCAGGATGATGAGGACGAGAACCTGGGTTGAGAACTGGAACCTCTGAAACACTGGCTACGCATTGCCCACTCTAGTTAAAGAAACGTTGTTTCACACGCTCAGTCGTTAAATAGTCTGTATTTCTGGGGTGATGACTGAGAATGTCTTAAGGGTTTGATTGCACACAGTTAGTACAGGGAAGTGCATTTTAACTCCACTCGTCTTTTCGAGTTTTGAACCACCTCCGGGAGCGAGTGTCACAGTTTTTACGACAGTGTACATCGTCCTAGACCCCGGAGCTGACACCCTCCGTGACAGGAGGCGGAGGGAGGGCAGGTGGTCAGGATGGTGACTGAACCCTGGGTCTGAGGACGAGACCCTTATCCCTGCCCTTGCGTGGTCCGTACCTGATGCCTTGTGGAGTGGCCAGCAAGCCACCGAGGCGTCTCAGGGTGGTGGCAGTGCTGTCTCTTGGGCAGGCGTGGTCTGCGTTGCCCCTCACCGTGGCCGGCCTGGCGGGCACTCACTGGTGCCTAGAATCATCTCAAGGTGGGTATTGTACTCTCTGTGCAGAGAGGAAATGGAAGGTCCAAATGCTCAAAGCAATTGCCCAGGCTCCATGCCCTGGTAAATGGCGCCTCTGGCATCCCAGAGCGTGAGTGTGGCCCAGGTGTCATTGTCCCTCTCTCCCCACTGCCCTCCAGGCTTCCTCGGGTCCCTGTGCACAGCCCTGTTTGCATCTTACGCCATACAAGGAAAGCCGCTCGAGCAGTGGGGGAGGGACATGATGAGGACAGTCCCTCTGGCGGAAGAATATTGCAAGAAGACCATCCGGCACCTGGCAGGTGAGCCTGGCCTCCGTGCTGTCACCCTGGCCTGGGCCCATGGAAGAAGGGCAATCTCAATTCACACTCAGATTCAGACAGACCCAGCTCCCTGGAGGTCAGGGTCCTTCTCCCCGCCTGAAACCAAGAGCATCCCCCTGGGGTCCACGTGAGCAGGCTGACCCACAAAGGAGGTCTGAGGAACTGCTCGGCCCGAGGGCGGCACCCACTCAGGAGGGCCCCAGGCGTGCACGGGGGTCCACGGGTGCTGGCCGCTGCGTCCCCATCTGAGGCTCCTGCCGAGCCCCGACCCCAGCTCTGGCTGCAGCCGGTGAGGAGTGGGGTACGTACTAAGGTTTAATTTTCCATGTTGTCCTCAAGTAGCCCATTCTTCAGCCGGGGGGAGGGACGCCAACACGGACGTCTGCTGTGCTCCTTGACCTAGCAGACAGCTGTGCCTGACCCCGGAGACTTTCGAGTCTCCCACATGAAAACCAGACAGAGATCCGTGCCCACTGATGACACGTGCCCCCAGGACCCTCTGTCCGTCTGAATGGCTTGCACCCTTTGTGGCCAGGAGTGGGCCGTTCCTCAGCCCGTGCAGCAGAGCCTGATGGCATCAGGGGGCTGCGGGCGGTCTGGGGAGCAGTCACGGGCCTCCTGTGCTTGTCTCCGCCTGCACCCCTTCCCACGGGTTCCCCGAGGTCCCTGGCCTGGCACAGAGGCCACAGGACCAGGAAGCCCACGGCTCTCGGGCTGCGCGAGGAGTGCCAGCAGCTTGTGCGACCGTGATAGTCTGAGGCCGTCAGGAGACCTTCTAGAATAAGTTCTCTGGCTCGTCCTGGAGGAGCGGGAGGTGGAGGCCTTGAAGGTGGAGCGCTGAGATCTGCCTGGACTGCCGGCGGGTCTGCAGTCATGGCTCTGTGCTGCGGTGCCCCAGACGCAGACAGCACAGCGGGGTCTGTGGCCCATTGTGAGCCAGTCACACCCCACTGCCCAAGAGGACAGATCGAGTGGGCGGGAGAGTGGGATGTGCTCGCCCAGAGCCAGGCTGAGGGACGCGGGGCCCTCGCGGCCGGTTCCCAGACGAGGAGCGCCACCTCCCCTCATCTGTGACCAGTGTCGCTGCCGCTCCCACTCATTTCTGAGTCAACGTCCTCTGCGCCAAAACACCTCGGAAAAGTTGGGTCAACACCTCTGGGCTTGGATGTCAAGCTGTTCACTAGGAATAATGAAACGCCTCTCCCTGCACTTTGCAGGCACAGACTTGAGTTAATGAAAACACACAGGTTCAGAATTTTCAAGAGAATGTGCTTCAAAATACTGCAATTGCTACCTTAGTTTCAGAATATAGTGAAGTGATTCTTTGAGTTGCTTTTTTCCCCATCTCCATCTTCGTTGCTGTTGTTTCAAAGTAGCTACAGATTTGCACATTTTCAAATTTCTGGCGCAATCGCTGAGGCCGGGTGCAGGTTCTGCCCGGACCCGCACCTTCTGTGCCCACAAGGTCGCCAGCCACCCCCTCGCCCTGCGCCCGGTGGGGGCCGTTGCGTCCTGCCCACCATGTTCTTTACCTTTAGAGTACCAGGAGCACTGGTTTTACTTTGAAGCAAAATGGCAGTTTTACTTGGAGGAGAGAAAAATCAGTGAAGACGTGGACAGTAAAGCCACCTTTCCTGACCACTATGACGCCGAGGAGAGGGACAAGGTAAGCCTCGCGGTCGACAGTGGGGGCGGGCGGGCCCCAGGCCGAGAAGCCGTCTGCATCTGGACAGCGTTATCGTCTTTGGAGCCCCCGGTCCACGGGGGCTGCCCAGGCCGTAGAGATGGGCCAGGGAGCAGCTGCGTGTGGCAGGGGCCACGGGAGACCCCTTGTCCCTTGCGCGGCTGGGACTGAAGGTACCGCTCAGTGGCTCCCTGCCACGCTGTCCTGACAGCCCGGTGACACTCTCGCAGTCCCGGGTCCAGCTCCACTTCCCATCACACTCTGCAGCCACCGACACGCTGTCGTGCTTGTTCGTCTGCGACTGTGTCTGAATGCTGGAGCGTGAGCGCCTTGGGAGGTGCCTTTCCTTCCCGCCATGCGTCCCTGCCCCAGGGCGCTGCCTGCACACAGGTGGCGTTCCACACGTGCACGGCCAGCACATGAACAGCCGTCTGTGGGACGAGCACCAGATGCGGTGCTCTGGTGCAGACTGTCATGGTGCCAGTTTGGCCGGTGCCTCTGACCCAGGCTTTTTCCTCAGACCTACAGGAGGTGGAGCTCGGAGGGGCGAGGGGGACGGCGGGGCCACGACGCCCCCATGATTGCATATGACGCTCTCCTGGGAGCCGGGAGCAGCTGGACGGAGCTCTGCCACCGGGCCATGTTTCACGGAGGTGAGGCCCCTTCTCATGGCCGTGGACTTCCCGGCACCGTGCCAGGACGTCGGGCTGCAGGCGTGAGGCCGGCCTCCCCACCTCCAGGATGTGTGTCCTTCTCTAGACTGGGCATCAGTCCTGGCGTCTGGAGCACGGGCATCACAGGCCGCAGGCAGGTCACGGCATCCCCAGGGTGGCCCGTGCGAGTCTGAGCTCAGAGAGTGTGGTGCTCAGGGTGGCCTGGGCGGGGGGCCTATCTCCCTCTGTGCAGCGGGGCCAGGGGCTCAGATCCACTGGGGCTGGCTGCACAGAGCTCTGCTCTCTGCAATCGCCAGCACCTCATCCGGCTCCTCTGCAGACTCTGTGGTCAGAGGTTGCCCTTTGGAGCCAGTTGGCCCAGGTTCGAGCCCTGGTTCCGGGCCTGTCTCTCTGTGAAGGGAGAACACCCACCTCATGGTGCCGTTGGGACCGTCCAAAGCCAGCGGCCAGGAGCTCAGCGCCGGCCTTCCGTGGTGGCCCTCGTCCCACCACTGGGCACCTTTGCCTCCCTCCCGTGGCCGTCCTCCCCGCGAGGGTGAAGCAAGCGGGTCCGCAGCAGACGTCACCTCCTGCCGGGCATCAACTCTCTGTCAGTCTCACTGTGATGGTGACCAGGGCCCCACTGCTCTTGGTGCCAGCACGGTTGAGAGGACAGTGCTCCCCAGGGGGCCAACGGGGGCTCCCTGCTGGGGACGTGGAGGGAGGACACAGAGGGAGCCAAGGGCTGCAGGCAGGTCATGGGAGGAGGGGCCCGGCAGAAGGGGCAGAGGGTAGCAATCCGCCCAGACTGGCGCAGGAGCTGAGAGCGGGAGGTGGGGAGCGCAAGGGACAAGGGAGCCCGCGGGGATGCGGGACACCCCGGAGAGCTGGAGGGGAGGGGCCCTCGGGACGGCCGTCCTCACAGGACCAGTTCCTGGAACCAGAGAGGCGTCTGTGCACCATCGTGTCCCAGGAAGGAGGAAGGGGACCCCTGCCTGCTCTACTGGGGACAGCAAAAGCCCCCCAGGACCCAGGGGGTGCTGCCCAGAGCAGAACTGGGGCGGGGAGGCTGAGGAAGGCCTGCGCTGCCTGTCCCGGGGCGGTCGGCCCAGAAGAGTCTCTGAGCCAGCCTAGCCCTGGATGGCGTGGGTTCACGGTGACAGCCCCTTCCGCCCTGCCCCCAAGCCCCTGAGGACCTGTGTCTCCCTTCCAGGTGAGAGCGGGGCCACGGGGACCATCGCGGGCTGCCTGTTCGGGCTGCTGCACGGCCTGGACTCCGTCCCCCCGGGGCTGTACCAGGACCTGGAGCACAAGGAAGAGCTGAGCCGCCTGGGCGCAGCCCTCTACCGCCTGTCCACGGAGGAGACGTAAAGCCCTCTGCCACTTTCCCTTCCCGGGGGGCCGAGTCCGGCTCTGGGTGGCAGGGTGTCCGCAGGCAGCGCCAGAGCAGCTTCCGGCTCGCCGAGAACCCGCCTAACCGGCCACAGTCACACTTAACGCTCCCTCCTCATTTCACGGTCCTCTCGCTCCATAAAATACATTGTTTGTCCTATGAGAACGTTCTTCCTGTCCTAACGCAGACCGAGCGCATTATTGACGTCACACTGGATTTGCCACCCTCAAACCTCAAATACAGTGGTCACGAATAGCCTCTTGGACAATTGGTGTATTTTATTCTGTCGCAAAACTAATGCTGTTCGCTGACTCACTTCAACAAAACTAACCGCGACGGCTCTGCTCGGACGGCCTCCTCCATCCGCGGAGCGTCCTTCACGGTTTCTAGCTCTTAGACACGCGCTTGGGCAGCTCCCTGGCCTCTGCCGCCCTCCGGGCGTCTCGAGCTGCGTCTGCCTCTCTGCGTGTCCCCCACAAAGCAGTGGTGCCAGCGCCGCGGGGGCAGCCACCGCACAGCCTTTAACCTGCCAGCCTGCGTTTTTACTCACACTAGACCCTAAGACCAGCCTCTTTTGGAACAAGTGACGGGGAACCACACGGAGGGCCCCGGTGCTGGCCCTGCCTCTGCCCTCTGTGTCCGCAGCTGTTGCACCCGTGGGGTCGGGTCCAGCCCACCCCCACTCCACCCGGGCTTGCGGACGAGGAAACAGAGCTGTTCCCGGGGCTGGGGTTTCTCCTCGAGTCGTGAGAAAGAGAACACTTGCTCTTGTTAAAAATAACCCTGGACACGATCTTTCTGGAGTGGCGTCTGGTGTGAATAAAACAGCAGTTGGCGACTGATGTGTGACATGGCGCTTGGCGGCTTGGCTGGGCCTGTCCCGTTGATGGCAGCCTCTGCTTCCGAAGGCTTGCCCCTGAGCACAGCCCACGGTCCCCAGAGCCTTGGGACCCTCGCTGGCAGACGCTCGGGCGCTGAGGCCTCCCGGGACCGCCCGCCCGCCCTCCGCTTCCTGGCCACCCCTGCTGTCCTGGGCTGTGGGGGCAGGACAGACGGGTGTGAGCTGGTGTGGGGAGGTGGACGGAGAACCGCCTTCCAGGAGCAGAAACCCAGGTAAGGCGAGTCACGCTTTTCCTAACGCGCGTCACACGAGGCTCGCCGTTCTGGGGTGAGACCCCTCACCAGCTCACTGACGGGGGTCTTTCCATTCTGCTGTGCGGAAGAGACGCCACCCCAAATGAGCCAGGAGCAGGCGGAAGAGGAAGGCTGGTCGGTCTCCATCTTATTGACCGTTTAGGAGAATTACATTCGCCCTCGGGAGCCGGGGAACCATCAATTTACAGGGAGATTCCGAGTTCGAACACGCCCACCAAAATTCATAGATCATAAGATAGAAGCTGTCCCCCACTTTATTTCCCATCACAGGGAAACGCAAAAGTGGAAAAGAAAAAGCCATAAACAGGAATGAGGTGAATGCTTCACCTACTCAAACTTTTAAAATGTGACCCTTGCTGGTTTCATTTTATTATAAAGGCAGCACACGCACAGCTGCAGAGTCTCAGATGCCAGGAACGGGGCGTGTGGAGGCCGCACCCGGCTCACACGCCAGCCAGAGAAACCTCAGCCACGCTTCCTCGAGGATCCTTCCAGAAGTGTCTCTACACACACTGGGGCTGCGTGTGCACACTCGCGTTTCTGTCACACACACACACACACACGATTTCTCTCCACGAAGAGGAATTTAGACTACGCCATGGTTTCCTTTCGGCATTTTTCACTTAGCTGGTTTTGACTGTTTTTCTGTGTCATCATCACGCGTCCACCTCAGTCTTTTTGACTGCGGCCCGATGCTCCATTTACACGTGGAATTGTAACTGGACCCCTGTTGACGTAGTTTTAAGGTGTATCCATTTCTTAAGCGACATTTTAAAATGCTGCTCCTCACGTTTACTTCAAAACATGGCTTCCCCATCTCTTCTGAGAACTGAACCTCCGCCAGCAGCACAGCGACTTTTCTTTGGGGCCAGGCGGACGCAGAGCGCTGCCTGCGGCTGGGACGTCCTGCCCCAGGAAGACTGCGCGCTGGGGCAGCCTCCTGCGTCCCCCACACTGCTCAGAAATTCCCAGACTGCAGGCCGATTTCACTTAATTCACCTGCCCAGACTCTCTGCTTAAGAAGGTTTGCATTTAGATTTAGGTCCCTTTTCCCAGTGTTTTGTACCGGGAAGCCAGACACGAGGCAGGTTCAGCAGAGTCGGTCCCCCCTCCCCACGCAGGGCTAGCTCACCTGGCGAGACTAGCAGGCTACTCACAAGGTCCACACCGTCCCGCGGCCCCGCCAGCCACGGCACACCCCCAGGGCCACCTCAGCGCTTGGCGCTCTGCTTGCGACCCCCACTGCTCGAGTGTTCCCTCCACTGTGCTCCCTCCTGGGCGGGGCAGGCAGGCACTGCTACTGCCGGTCCTGCAGAGAGGACACAGCCCAGAGGTCGGGGCCGTTAGTGAATGGAGAGGGCACCCCACTCGGCCTGTCGACCGCTCCTGCTTCTTAACCTCTAATTCAGCGGGACTCGGCCAGGTCCCTGCCTCCCCCAGCAAGACCCTCGTGGACACGAAGCCCACTTGTCACCCGCGGCCTTGCTTGCTTCCCGTCCCGTCCAGATGGCTTGTTTTCAAACACACAAAAAGTCACAAAATTGCCCAAAAATTCCCACATGCCCCTCACCCACTTCGCCAACTGCCAACACCAGGCCCATCCACCTTATTATTGTCTCTTGCTCACTATACACCTCAGACATGCACACGAACACACACAGAGATACACACACAGAGAGCTACACACACACACAGACGCACACAGAGCTACACATAGACGCACACAGAGATACACACACACACACACAGCAGGAGTTGTAAGTAGGTCTTGGGGAGCATCCTGCTCACTTATTAAATCTCGGGGCCTCAGCCAGCCTGGGTTGGACAGACGCCCCTTTCAGAGCCAGGACCAGGCTGTGAGGTGCAGGGGCAAGACCGTGGGGGACCCCAGCCCAGACGGCCGCTTGCCGTTCTTTAGCCAGACTCATATCCAGGGAAACACGGAGCTTCACGCTCTCTGACTCTGACTCATTGGCACAGTTTCCACTGTGAGCTACCTGGTCACTAACAAACCTGGAACAGACACCTGTTACTGAGCTTGACTAGGAAACAGTTGCTGTTGACGTGCTGCTTCCCGGTTCTGACCAGCCGTCAACAGCAGCATCAGCCCTGTGGGCTCACTGTGTGACAGCCACATGGCCTGCTCTCAGCCGCCCCTAGGTGGGGATGGGGTGTCCCAGGAGGAAATGCAGGGACCGCCTGGCCGCAAAGGCGGGAGCAGACCAGGAGGCAGCCCAGCTCTCATTCCGGCCCCTTCTGAGCCCATTGGTGCCTCTAAAGCACCTGAGGGGAGGCATTTATTGAGCGCCTGCTGTGTGTGGGGCCCTGCCAGGCGCCAAGGTGTGCAGGCGGGTCAAAGGGAGCGCTGCCCTGCTGCATTTACTCCCCGACCGCGGGACGGGCCTGCTGAGGGAGGGGCCTCGGTGGCCGCAGAGCCGTGCCAGGGTGGCGGAGGGAAGAGGCTTTGTGAGGCTGGCGGGTGTGTGCTGGTGAGTGGCAGAGCGGGGGCAGGCCAGGTCGGGGTCGGCCAGCGCCCGCTGAGAAGGCAGGACGGAGAGTCGGGGCGCAGCTGGCCAGGATGGCCAGGGAGATCTGCAGGGACTGGGGGATCTCAGCCAGGGAGGGCGGGGTCTGCCGTCCCACCCTGTCCGTAATGCCACAGGCGCATCCAGCTGGTGGTCAAGGCAGGCCCACATGGAGGCTCCTGTGTCCTTGTATTTTTGAGTGACCTCTCGCCAACAGAGCTGCTGATGGGGCTAAATTAGGACTGTTTACTGCAGGCTTCCTGTTTACACTGGCCCCTGCGAGAGACTATTCGGTTCCCGGCCTGCACAGCTCCGCCGCGTCCACCCCCCAGTGGCAGGGGCAGGTCACTCGGCGGGACAGCGGCTGAGAACAAAGCCAGGGACCCTGCGACAGTCCTCTGGGGAGCGCTGACAAGACAGAAGCTCGGCCTGGAGGAGCAGGCCCATGCTGAGTCCTGCCCAGCCTGACCTTACTGCCAGCTCTGGGCAAAGTAGCTCCCTGCCCGCGGGGCTACGTTCTAGTGGGGGAGCGAGTCAAAAATATGCATGATGTGTTTGAAACTGTGCCCGAGTCCCAGACAATAGTGCTACAGCAAGAGGTCTCCCAGGGGGTTGTGTGTTCAGGGGGTGACCTCAGGATGGGGCATGTGAAGCCCCAAGGCAGACTGTGCTAAGCAGAGGGAATAGCTTGCACAAAGGCCCTGGGGCAGGAATGAGCTAGGAACTGAACCATGGCCAGTACAGCTGGAGTGGTGCACAAGGTGGGGAGAGCAAGTTGGGGTCAGAGGGCCAGATGGGCTGAGCCCGTGGGCCTGGAGACCAGGGCAGGATGTCCCTGCAGGGAGGGCAGGAGCCCAGCTCAGCAGCAACAATGGACATGGCTCGGAGAGTTATTGTGACACAGATGTTGTGAGCATGCAATGCACTACATCTCGCAAACAGAACGTGGTGTCCATCCAGTGGCAGGGGCGGCCCAGGGAGAGCAGAGACAGCCATGGAGAAAAGCAGGCCGAACTCGAGGAGGAGCGTTCATCCACGATGGTTGTAAACACACCACTTACGGAAGGAGGCCGTGCAGTCTCCCTTTCTCATCACAGCCCCGGGATACTGTCCTGATCTACCACGCCTCATGATGGCTCGCAGGCAAGGCCACCTTGGCAAGGGAGGGCTCACCCGAAAAAGAACTTTGAGGTCCAGCTAATCCCCTATTCCTCAGCCCATAAATCTTAGAAAAGCATCCTGACCTTCTCTGGGAGTGAGGACTTCTCCAGGTGATTGTGAAAGCATCTGGGAACTTTCTGAAACTCTACCCGTGGGCTGTAATGCGCGCCAGTGGGGCTCCCGTGGGCAGCGAGGGGCAGATCTGCGACGCTGCGGTTTTGGTGGCTGTCAGCTGAGTGGGATGCTGAGCAACGTCGTACTTTAAAGCTGGCCAACAAACCTCCACGTGGCATGGAGGCCCCGCGCTGGCTGAACAGCTAAACCAGGTGCAGGACCACGTGCCGTCAGAAGGACGCGTAGCAAGGCCAGCCCAGGGCGTGGCTCCTCTGGTGTCACTGTCACAAAAGGGCACAGCTGTGCTTCCTGGAACAGACGATCAGCGTCAGGACTGTGGCGTGGGGCTCATGGGAGGCGGTGTCCGGACGCTGAGACAGACCGCTGGCCGCCGCCAGAGCGAGCGATGGCGTAAATCCATACCGAGCTTCGTGTCTCTCCACTTCTTCCAGATTCGCCTCGATGGCGACGAGAGGCTGATGGGCCTCTGCTGCAGCTGGGTTCTTTGTCCTTCCACCAGATGGTGGGGCGCAGAGGCCGGCAGGCATGGTACGTGAGGTGGCACTGAGGTCGCACGTGGCTGATCCTCGTGGCCTTTCTGCAGACATCAGTGTCCCCTAAGCACGTCGTCAGTGTGGCTATTTCAGTCATCTGAGCAACTCAGCCCGCAGAGTCATGTAGGTGATTGAAATGACCAAGGCAGCCAACTACTCGGGGCTGGGTGGCCGGCCATGTGGCCGGCCGTGTGACTGGCCGCTCTGGAAGCTCACTTGTCTCCACCTCAGACCCAGCGAGGCTGCTTCCGGTGCCTCCTGGAAGCTGGAGTCCTGGACCCCAAAGGTCCACGTGGCGTGAGGTGCTGAGATCCCCATCTCAGCCACTGCAACCCCTCCACATTCAGCTGGGATCTCCCACACACATGTGACAATCAGCCTGCGAGGCCCATGACCAGAGCCCTTGAGGAGACAGGAGGCTGGCCACACAGTGCTTAGCCACAGGGGTGTTAATTCAGTCAACAAACACTGCGGGCCCGCCATGTGCTAAGAGCTAAGGTCCCCACTCTGTGTGAAGATGCTCACGCAAGACAGCAGAGATGGAACTTCAGTAATTAGGCCGAGAAAGTGCCTCTGTGCTGAGCACTGCAGAGCAGCGCAGAGGACCCAGCCGGAGGGTCGGGAGGATCCCGGGAAGGGGCGTCTGTGCTGAGACCTCAGCCAGCAGGAAGGAGGGAGCGGGGGTAGAGGCACGTGGATGGGCGGCAGGCTGCACGGCGGGGCCGTGGTGAATGAGGAGGGTGGACACAGAGAGTGGCTGGGGTCTGTGGTCCTTTTGGCAGGAGGGGTCTGGACCGGATCCCAAAACAGCGGCAGCCGTGTCTAGATGTGGCCCCCGCTGCAAGAGGCAGCGGGAGACAGGAGGGGCTGGCGAGGGAGGCGGCAGGAGCGGATTCCACACCCTCAGGCTGAGGGCCACAGAGCTCAGCCGCCCTGGCTGTGGGTGCGGGGACAAGGACGACTGTGTTTCTGGAGCAGGAGGTGCCACGTGCCATGGTAGGAAAATGGGAGCAGGGCTTCAGGGGTCCGAGGTTGAGTTCAGCCACGTGTGAGGTGCCTGTGAGGCTCAGATGTCCGGCCAGGACTGAGGTCCGGGCAGTCTAGGGGCGAGCCCCCTGGCGTTCCGTGAAGCCAGGCTCAGACACGTCCCAGGCCCAGTTCTGCACATGTCACTGATGGTCTCCGCGGTTACATGGCTCAGATACGGGGGGCTGACGATCACCCCAAGAGACAGAGAGAAACGTGTGCGCACAGAGCAGAGCGCCCAGCCGCAAGGGAGGAGCACCCAGCAAGGCTAACCCGGAGCCTGGGGTGAACCCCCAAAGCAGCTGGATGCCCACCGTCTCGCACGCCTCTGGGGAGTGAGGAAGGGCTGCCCACTGAGATGCCACTGGGCTGCATACCACATGGTGACACTGGCTCACTGCAGAGACGCGGTGTGTGGCAGCCCTCGGTCACGGGACCACCTGCGCTGAGCACGGCTTTTGTCGCCCCAGCCCCAGGGACGGACACCACGCCACCACCTCGCCGGCCCCAGGCTTCCTCACCGCGGCTCCTGCAGACTACCTTTGACAGGCGGGGAGGGAGCTGTCAGGGACCCAAAGGAACACCTGAAATGCCCTGGCCTAGGCCACCAGATGCCCGGCATTGGCTGACGCCCTCCTCCGCAAGTAACAGAGACTTCCGGTCGCCTGGGTAGCCCTCGGTGAGGTAACGGAGGGAGGACGTATGCAGACGCCCGGGGACGCAGTCGTGAAAGCGGCAGGCTTGGCATGATGCAGGCGCCACAGATGTGTGTGGCCTGAGAGCGCCAATCTTCTCAAACAGATGCGCCAAAGGCTGTTCCAGCAGCACCAGGTTCGGCCACCCCTCTGCTCCCCCGTCCCCGATGCTGGCCTGGGGCATGTAGGGGGCCTGGGTGGCTAACGGCTGCAAGGACACAGCCTAGCACCTTCCTGGGGGGAGCACCTGGTGCTTGGTGCACCGGACAGGCGTCCTCGTGCCAGGGAGGGTGCAGCTGCACCCTGGGGGTCAGCTGCCAGTGGTTTCTACGCAGCTGCTGTCCGGTGGCCAGGCCGGCTCCCACTACCTGGTGGCTTGGGAGTGGGTTCAGGTTTGGGTTTTGTTTGAGGAGCCTGATTCCCCACATAGGTGCCCCACACCCACGGCCGTCCGAGGCTGGGAGGTCTCCATCCGTCCCAGCGGTGCTCAGAGCAGGGTCCCCGGGCCAGCAGCCTCGCGGCTCTGGGAACTTGCCACAAATGCGAGTTCTCACCCCTCACAGACGGACTGAGTCAGAGGCTCTGGGGGTGCCGCCCAGTGCTCTGGATTCTAAGGAGTCCCCCGGCTCTCCGATGTCCACCAGCGTCCAAGGATTCCTAAAGCAGCCGCTTTCTGTCCGAATCCACGGCATCGAGGCGAATTTGGGTTCTCAGGGAGCCTGAGAGGCAGGGGCCCAAGGTCCTGCTGATGGATTCTCCTGCGATTTGCTGTATGGGGTCGCGTTCCCAGGCACCGGGTCGGCCCGTGGGCTCACCCGAGGACGGGCAGGTTGCCTCATGAGGAACCGTCCACACTGAGTGGGGATGAGGCCGGGGCGTGCGCTGTGGTCCCCCCATCACGCCAGCACAGTGTCCCCACAGCCATTGCGAAAGGACATTCGTGTGTGGCTTCTGACCAGAGAACTCTTTTTCTGGAAAGACGCGTAAGTACAAAATGTGTGCCTGAGTGTCCCTCGGCCTGTTCTCAGTCTGTGCGGCTCCCACAGCGCATGGCGGGCACGGCGGCCCGGCGGTCAGCTTCGCAGCACGAGCACTTCCCTGGGCTGTTTTCCCATAAACGTGACATGCAGCCATTTAAGCAGCCCACAGGGGACGTCCAGGGTGCTCCCAGTGTTGTGGGATTGTAGACGACACGGCAAAGACCTCCCTCCCATACTCTTCGCTCTGCGTCCCGTTTGTCTCCTGGGCTGCCAGGCGCATCTTTACAAGCAACGCTCTCCTCTGAGAGGTGGGAGGCGGCTCTGCCCCGCCAGGGAGGACCCCACGGCTGTGACACTGTGGTCGGCAGACGCGCCCCTGGCCACCAGGCCGCTCAGAGGGGGCCTTTCAGCCTGGACGCTGGGCTGAGAAACCCCTCAAACACCAGAGACCCCGCCCCCAGGAGGCCTGCAGTGGCTGGGCAGGGGTGGGGGAGCCACAGCGGCCTTGCTGATGAGCGTCTCACGGACAGGGCTGTGTGGGCTGGGCTCAGGGCCTCTCAGTCGGGGTTCCTCTGGGACTGTTTTCAAAGGGGTTCAGGAAGGCAGGTCCCAGCCGGGGCCCCCAGCTCTCTTCCCCTCCTCTCTGTAGCCAAGCCCACCCCCTCCCACTCCAGGGGTCCACCACCAGGCCCAGCGGCTCCTGCCCCAGGGACACCCCCACACAAGGCTGCGCCCCCACCACCCCGTACCCGCCCAGGGCCTGGCAGTCTCACTGATCCCTCAGAGGCTCGGCTCTGGGGACCCCACGCCCGTGGGACTGAGTCAGGATGTAACTACGATGTGAACCTCATTTTTCATACTTCAAGTCAGAGACGTGCACAGACCCACACAGAGAATACAAATCCTTTATGCTGGCTTTTTCCTATTTGTACGAGCATATGACTGTTATTTAAAAATGTAAATACCTTTGATATGCAAAGCATTTTTCCACAGTGCTCTCACAAATCTATTTAGTGTCGGCTTTCCAAAGGCCTTTGCGAAGGAGGACATTGGGTCAGAAATCACTGCTGCTTATCAGAGAAGGGAACGGTGACCCACACAGGTGGTGGGTGTCCCCAGCTTCCCCGAGACGCACTAGACCCCCAGCCTTCTGTTCCTCCTCCTGGACTTCTTGGGGTATTTAAAAATGGGGTAGTTCCGTAAGAAATGTCCTTTGGAGTCACCCTGGAAAAAATGATGATAAAATCTGTAACAATTAATTTTTTTCCTGCAGCCCCAAGAATGGCAAGATCTGCAGTGACAAGACGCCCATCGACGCCCAAGCCCTGAAAAGGAAGGTCAGCAAGGCGACGTGCCACCCGGCCGCCCACGCCATCCTCAGCAGCCTGCTGCTCTATGTCACCGACCACGAGGACAGGCCCTGGGGGCTGCCTCCCGCCAACAGGGCAGAGGGCGGGGGGAGAAAGGTGAGCTGCACGCCAGAGCCCCAGGACGCCCACCGGCGGCCCACGCGCTTCCAGCTCCTGCAGGCCAAGTTCATGGGCCCTGGACGGGAGCCCCGTCTCAAGAAGACCCGGGAGGTAGGGAGGCTGATCTTCAAGGACAAGCAGGGCCCCAGCAGGAGCTTGGTGACGGCCACCATCGGCAAGCTCCTTGAGAAGACCCGGGAGCCGATCCATAGCCAGAAGCCCCGGTGGGGCCCGCCTGCCGGGAAGAGCACCGTGAAAAACATCCTGAAGATGTTCTTGGCCGCAGAGGAGAAGGAGGCTGCGGAGAAGCCACCCGCGGAGCGGCCCAGAGCTGCGGGAGGCCCCCTGCCGAGGACAGCGGGCAAGAGGAACTCAGTCCTGTCCAAGCTGCGGGAGAAGTTCGAGCAGAGCGGCTGTCTGTACTCCGAGGCCGGCGTGTTGCCGCTCCGCACGGAGGACCGAAAGAAGAAGAACCTGCGGAGGACGAAGATGCACCGGCCTCAGGCCCGCGTGCTCTGCATGGCCACCCTTGCCAGCACCTGCATCAGGACGCCCCTCGCCCGCTTTCTGGCCTGCACGGCTGAGCCCGTGCCAGCCTTCAGCATCGCCACTGTCGTCTGCGGCCCCAGGAGCTGGCTGTCCCACTGTGCCAAAATCAGCCGCTCAGATCTGGGGCGTGTGCCCAGACCAGCAACGGGCACGTCACCCAGTGTGGGGGAGACGGCACCTGGGGGGAACAAGACACCAGGAAAAGGGCGGCTTGGCGGGGAGTGCTCAGGGTTCCCAGCGCCCATGACCACAGCTCCCAGGGACCACACGGGAACAGTGTGCCCCAGAGCAGGGCCCGAGTGCGTCCCTGAGCCAGCCCCCTCTCCTGCCTCCCGCAGGGGCGAAGCTCTTCCTGGCCGCAAGCCCACCACATCCCCACTGGCAGCAGCCAGCCCAGGGTACACCCAGGCAGCAGGAGGTGACAGCAGGGGGGCCCCCCAGGCAGAGGGCACTGCAGACGACACCTGGGGGATGAGAGGGGCAGGGGTGGCCCCCGCAGTCACACTGACTGTTTGCAGCTCGGAGGATGAAACAGAAAGATCCATTTCAGACTCAGAGAGAGACCCCCTCTTCGCCACCCAGAGGAATTTTCCAGAAGAGAATGTACCAGGACGTATCCCACCACTCAACATGCACGCAGCCCAGGCCGCTCAGCGCACTCAGCCGGCCATCGAGCCTCCACAGATAATGGTCAGACTTCCCGTTGTCCACGAAATGCCGCCCCCTCATGCCACGCCGCCAAGGGCACCAGGTGGTGAGGACCAGTGTCCTGGTGCTCTGGGAGGAGAGAGCGCGATCGGAAACACAGAAGCGCCATTTCCCACCACGGAGAGTAGAAGCCGCGGCCCAGCCACAGCCGGACTGAGGGAGCCCCCAGGTACGCGGCAGGGCTACTGGGCAGACCCCAGCCCCACGCCCCTACAGGGGGCTGCCAGCGCTGATCGCCACCCCCCCGAGGCAGTGCCAATGCCGAAACCATGGGCAAGTTCCCCTGGAGGGAAGGGACACGAAGGCGGCCGTGGGAAGCTGGACCGGCATGAGGCTCGAGAGCACGTTTGCACAGACGCTGTTTCCGAGCTCACCTGTGAGAAGCAGCAGCTGCCAGAATCAGGGGCAACGCCACCCCGCGATGAAGGCGCCCCATCACGGTACACCACAGCGTCGGAGAGCCGCCCAGGAGGGACCCGCTGCTCTGCCTCTGGCTGGCAGCAAGGGCCGGCTTCCAGCGAGGAGCACCGGGCGGGCGGCCCCGCCCTGCTGGCGGCCTCCACCAAGGACCGGACAAGGTCCGAGAGTTTGACCTCGACGGACAAGCACATCCTGCATGAGCAAGAACGCGGGCGAGCCCCACTGCCCGCGTCTGCCCAGCCCCTGCTGATGGCCGAGGAGAGCACTACCGGCGGCCTCGGCGAGCACAGACCGTCCTCCTTAAATGGACGCCCGGAACCAAGCATCAGAGCCCCTGGGTGGTTGACGGCTGAAGGGGCCAAGAGTCACACAGCGCCAGCGCCCGGTGACGCCCTGAACCCCGAAAACAGTGTGGCCGAAGAGCGGAGGGCTCTGCACGGGGGAGAGCGCAGCTTGTCAACAAGCCATGGCCTCCTAGCGGAGGACCTCGCTCGAGAACCCAGCCGCCCCCTCTTCCTGGCGCCCGGTGGGCCCTGGGAGCCCCACAGCAGAGCGGCACAGAGCAGCATCCGCCAAGACTCAGGGCCGCGGCGGCCTCTGGCCTCGGAGTCCCCGGCAGAGCCCCAGGCCGCTCTCCCACTCAAGGCCGCTGGCACCCAATCTGTGCATGATGATCCCCTCGCGTGTGTTTCCAATGAATGGGCAGCGCGCCCGGCGAAGGCGGCGGGAGGAAGCAGGGACACCATGTCCGCGCAGGCCAGCCCTGCGGCGGCTGACACCAAGTCCCCGGGGCCGCCCTCAAGTCATCCCCTGCCACAGGGACGCCGCACCAAGGGGCCGCCCCACCACACCTCGGGCAGGGGGCTGGCACCTTCTGAGCCCCAGCAGGCCAGGAAAGAGGACCGCGCCGCATCGGGAAAGCAGCACCCTTCCAGCGCGGGGCCTACACCTCAGCCGTCCTTGGCGCCCTCGACGGCAGCAGAGGGCCAGCAGGTGGACAGGGTGCCCCAGGAGTGTCCCAACCTCCAGGCACGCCCGCAGATGGCATCCTGCACGCGGGCCGGTGTCCTGGAGGAGGTCAAGGTTGGGGAGAGGCCACAGCCACAGGCAGGCCGGGGGGGCCGGGAGGACGGGGCCTCAGGGCCTGCAGGACTGGCCGGTCCTGGAAAGGAGGGAGCAGCTCCTTGGGGCCAGAATGGCACAGTGTGTTGGGCTGAAAAGGCTCAGACTCGACCCAGGGATGAGCGGGAAGTGGAGGCCACGGCCACTGAGGTGGAGACGCCCCGGCTGTCAGCTGCGAAAGGCCTGGAACATCTGTTCCAGCAGCGGGGGAGGCGTGAAGAGGAGCCCGCTCGCGGACACGGTGCGCCCACTGAAGAGAGCCAAGCACCTTCCCCCTCAGAGAAGCTGGGGCGCCCGGCACTGGCCCAGGCCGGCAGGATGGCGCCCCACGACCTGGCGCGGCCCACAGGTGGCTCGGCAGCAGTGGCACCCATTGCAGGCGATAGTGGAAAGTCCCAGGGACCGGCTCCCAGGGGCGCCCAGGGGGCGCCCAGAGCGCCGCTCAAGACCGGAGAACGGCGGCCTGGGGCGGCTGAGAGCCAGCTGTGTCCCCGCCCTGAGCCCACCCGGGGCTCTGCAGGGTCCCCACCTCAGCCTGGGGGCCGCCAGACACCTGGTGCCCAGGCCCAGGAGGGGCCCGCAGACACCCCCGGGGCGGGGAGAGGCCCATGGGAGCCCGAGCATCGCCGGAGGTCAGCACGCTTGGCCAAGTACCGAGCCCAGAGCTTCTGCGACCAGAGGTCCTTCGACCTGTCCTTCAGACCCGCCGCTCTCAGGGCCGACGCCGCGGCTGAGCCGCCACAGTGAGGCCCCCACCCCGCACCGCCTCATCCCACGCCCCAGGCTCCGCTCCTCGCCCGAGTGTCGTTTTCCCTGAACAGTCGGCCTGTGGTTTCCTGTCGCTCTGAGGGCACTCAGCCCAGAGGGTCCCGGCTCCAGGACTGACACCCCCAGCATCGCGAACCCCGCGGCGCCTCGGCCTCAGCGCTTCCCCGCAGGAGGTTTGAACAGCAAGGACGAGGAACAGACTCGGACACACAGGCGTTGGCTCCAGGCCCCCTTGTGTCCATGTGTTCTCCGTTTCATCGGAGGCAGCCTCACGAGGGTGTCTGCACATGTCCATCTTCTCACTGAGCCAAGAGCTGTTTTTAGCACTCAAGCGTGCGGTGCTGGACTTTGCATGCGTCTGTCCTGTCCCATCTGGGGGGCCCAGGTCAGCTTCGGGCTTTTTTTCTGTCATTTTGTTTTGTTTTTATATTTTCTTTTTTGAGGAAGATTAGCCCTGAGCTAACATCTGCCACCAATCCTCCTCTTTTTGCTGAGGAAGACTGGCCCTGAGCTAACATCTGTGCCCATCTTCCTCTAGTTTGTATGTGGGATGCCGCCACAGCATGGCTTGATGAGCAGTGTGTAAGTCCATGCCTGGGATTCGAACCAGCAAACCCTGGACCACTGAAGTGGAATGGGCGAACTTAACCGCTGCGCCACCAGGCTGGCCCCCAGCTTCGGGCTTTGAGTGTCTTCCTCCCCTTGTGGGGTCATCTGCAGGCACAAGTGTGGCCGGCCTTGGACTGTGGCCCCTGCCTCGCTCAGACGCAGCCTGTGCGGCCCCCTCGACGTGGTCTGGGGAGGTGAGTCGCCCACCAAGTGCCGAGTCAGGGCCTGTGATGCCAATGCAGGCGCCGCCCCCGTGGCCCCGCACGTTCTGGAAGAAGGGCCAGGAGCCTCGGTTTGCTGCAGCGACTCCCAGGGGAGGACCGAGTCCCTGACCCCACCCAGCCGCATGACGGGCAGGGAGGTGGAGTTAGGGCACTGGGGTCCGGGGTCGGGCACCTCCTGTCCCTGCTGAGCACGGCCGGCACCCGGGCAGCTGGGCCGGAGCAGAGCAGCCCGCAGGACACGCCCAGGTCGCTGCAGGAGGGGACGATGCAGAGCGACGATGGTCGCCGTCAGCTCTGCGGTTCCATGTGCCCCGTCCTGAGGAAGCTGTCGTTTGGACACTGGTGCGAGGAGGAAAGCGACACGCCACACTGTCTCTGTGCTCCACCGTCGTCTCAGCAGCCTCTGTGGGGCCTCTGAGTCCTGCCGGGATCCTGGTGTTGTCGCTGATTAACGATGCGAACGCCGGCTCTCTTGACGGCTGCTCCTCTCCTGAGGGGCACACGGGTGTTTCCCGCCACAGCCTGAGACCTCACACTGCTCCCGTCTGCTCCGTCGCTGAGATAATGCGTTTCCAGACTAGAAATTGTGAATTTTGCACAGCAGTGAAGGTTAGGAAATAAAAGCCATCCATAGTCACACGGATGACCAGCTGTCTCTTCTAAGGCCCAGACACAGCTGGGACCATGTCTGGTGTGCGGTTTAAAAACCTGATGCTGCAGCGCACGTGTGTTTTCAGGGGCCACGAGGTCGCATTTGAAAACCAGACGTGTGTGCTGCCCGGTCCACCCTGCGGACACACCAGAGCCTCGGGGTTTCCGGAAGGAGCCGCCGCTGGGACCCTCCCCACGGCCCAGCTCTCTGTTCTCGATGACACCCTCCCTGTGGCAAGTGGATTTCTGCTGTTTGAAGACCCAGCGACGTTTGCAGCTGAGCGACCTAAACAATCTGCTAGTCCTGGAGGAGCTTCCCCGACGGGTGCCATGATCTGAAGGACCATTTTGAGGAAGGTCTCCTCCGAGTTAGGCTTTGAACAGACGCTCAGTGAGAGCGGGCTTTGTCGGTTTCCGTCCTGTCCGTGGCGAGGCCGGGCGCTGTGGTGTCTCCTCCGTCCGACGTGACAGCTATGCACGTGACCCGAGTGGCCGAGCTTCCTGCGGGCTGAGCGGAGTCGTGAGGTCCCTGCCTGCCAGCTGTGCCTCGTCCAGGGATGGGCTCGTGTCCTCCGCGCTCCCCTCTGCAGTCGGGCAACTGATTTAGAACCGAGCAGAGGGGAAACTCCCCCAAGTGCAACAGCAGGCGCAGCTGAGAGTGCCGTGGGGGCGCCCGGGGTGCTGGGCTGGACCGCAGTGCTAGGCACCCCTCCAAGGGCAGTGATGGGACTGTGCTCTGGGCCTAACCATGTGGGTGTCAGCCTGGCCTGCTGGCTGTTAGCAGCACGAGTCGGCGTGTGCGACACGCACGGTGCTGCCCCGTGCCCAGTGTCTGGACACGTGGTTGAGGACCCTGACTTCTGGGAGTGGAGCCGGGCAGGCGCCTCCCCCACTGCGTGTCGCTCCTGCTCACAGGGTGGACGGGGCCAAGGCCACTGGTTTGGGTGCTGTTCGTTCCACCTCTGCTGGGAGGATGGGGTGCCCGTCTTCTCAAAGTGCGGCTGTGGGGGTCCAGGTGCCCCCTGCCCAGGAGTCTCGGGAAGCCAGCACCCAGACTTGGGGTTGCCTCCCAGAGCTGCAGAACCCAGGAGGCTCATGAGACGAGTGCGCAGGGTGGGCGCACAGGCCCGCAGACGAGGGGGCTCTCCCAGCCCTGCTGACGGCACCTGCTCGCCCCCAGGGGCGTCCTCGCTGCCGCCGGGATGGGGACTTAAGATGGGCACCATCTTATTTATTTTCTTTCTTTCTTTTTTTTTTTAAAGATTGAAACCTGGGCTAACAGCTGTTGCCAATCTTCCTCTTTTTTTTTAAGGATTGGTACCTGGGCTAACAACTGTTGCCAATCTTTTTTTTTTTTTTTTTCTGCTTTATCTCCCCAAACTCCTCCTGTACATAGTTGTATATCTTAGTTGCCGGTCCATCTTGTTGTGGGATGTGGGACGCCGCCTCAACGCGGCCGGATGAGCGGTGCCATGTCCGGGCCCAGGATCCGAACCCTGGGCCGCCGCAGCGGAGTGCGCAAACTTAACCACTCGGCCACGGAGCCGGCCCCTCTTTCTTTCTTTATACTTTGTTCCACAAAGCACTCAAGGCAACATTTGGCAAAGACCACGAGGACAGACAGAGGAGATAAAAATATGTTCACTGGGCGTTCCCTTTTTAAAATAAGAAGCAGTGGGGGTTGTTGCTATTTTTACATAGACCAGAAACTCTGCTGGAGGAGGCACAAGTGGTATGATTTTAAGTGTTGGAAAAAATGGTCAGAATCTCCTCCAGGCTGCAGCTTCAGAGAACCACCTGCTGAGCCCCGCACATCTGTTAGGTGCTGCCCGCTGAGCCCCGCATGTCCGTTGGGAGTCGCCCGCACGTCCATTGGGTGCTGTCTGCTGAATCCCTGCATGTCCATTGGGTGCTGGTGAGCCTGTGACCCAGACGGCAGGCCCCGGCTCAGCTGCAGGGCCTTGCCCCGGATCCACCAGACGGCCACGGGTAACACCACCCCGAACGCCGTTCCCCGGGCAGCTCCACAGAGAAGAGCCGAGAACGGCCGTGTCCGAGGATGTGACAGCGGTCGGTGTGTGTTCACGTGACACCGAGACCCTCCAGTCGGAGGAGAGCTGCTGGAGCAGGGGTTCACTCTGCACACACGGCCGTCATTTCCACAGACGGTGGCCCACGAGCCTCCGGGGGGACATCACTGCAGAAGATGGTGGGCTCCTGGACGTCGGGACTTTAAATAAAACTAAGTAAAAACAAAGGATATTTCACATTAACCTTTAGGTGGCGGCTTTGATGCTTTGTGTCCACTGACACCTCCTGTCAGCTCTTTGCGTCTGTGAGCCACACGCACACTCCCTGAGGGGACCCTCACCCTTGAAGACTCTCCAGGTGCTTCTGTTTCAGACGCTTCGCCCCAGAAAGTCGTCATCTAGAATTTTACAAATTCAGTGTCGCTTCCTTGTCTTTCTAACGAGGCGTCTTTGCTGTTTATCTTTTAACTATGATTATGTATTTACCCACAGCTGTTTACTCAGCGTTACCCTCCTTTGTGTACTAAACACCTCTAAAGTGGATACCTTAGGAAGAAGTTACTGGGGCCACCCCCACGGCCTGGTGGTTGAGTTCGTTCGACGTGCTCCACTTCGGCAGCCTGTGTTCACTTCCCGGCACAGACCTACACTTCTCATGGGCGGCTATGCTGTGGCGGCAACCCATGTACAAAACAGAGGAAGGCTGGCACAGCTGTTAACTCAGGGCAAATCTTCCTCAGCAAAAAAAAAAAAGTTACTAAATACATTTTGTTGTATTCTCTCTTTGGAATTTTTACTAACATTATTCAGCTGGAAATAATTTCATAAAAGGAAATAAAATACCTGCTCATCACAGATCTCTTCCTTGCCTTTCTGAGGGGTTTCATGAAGGAGGTAGGAATTTCATGTCAGAAAGCAGCTGTGGGGCCTGGATTGAGCACAGCATGTGTGGCCGACCCTGGACGGCCACGTGTGGGGAGAGTCAGTCAGCAAGTGACAGTGGAGGAGGCTCCTCCATCCTCCAGGAGGCCTCACTGGGTGGGGGGAGAATCCCTTGGGGGTGCGGCTGTGCTTGGGAGCAATAGGCAGGCCTTCCCAGGACACCCTGGGCCCCGGGAGAGAGGGAATAAACTGTTCTGTGGGCCAGGTGGGCTGGAGCTGAGCACCCCCCGGGGACGCCAGGCAGACGGCCAGGAGAGGAACGAGGGGCGTGGGGGGCCAGGGGTCGGGACACAGCCTTGCGATGCAGAGGAGCTGCCGTGCCCGAAGCGAGGGGAGCTCGTAGGTCTGCACAAAGGGCACCGAGGCCGTCGGAGGGGGTGACCTGCACCGCGTCCTCCCAGAGCGGCTGGGCCCGGGGGCTGAGCACTGTTAGTGGGGTGGGTTTGGGGAGCCCCAAGCCCTTCTCGTCCCGAAACCCTCCTTAGTGTCAGGAGCTACATGAGATGACGTCACCGTGTCCCCCTCCTTCCACTCAGGGCCACTCACAGAACTCAGAGAAACACTTGCTCGTGTTTCCTGGCTTGTTATAAAGGATGCGCGTGAACAGCCAGATGAAGAGGCACGTAGACCGAGGCCCAGAGGGTCCCTAGCACAGAAGCCTCTGTGCCGGCCGAGCTGGGGTGCGGCGCCCTCCTGCACCAGATGTGCTCGGAGCCCAGGAGCCCCACCCTCCCAGAGTCACCGCACCAGCATGAACTCAGGTGTGGTTGGAAGGGGCCTCTTACGAACGACAAACCCCATCACCCAGGGATTTCTGAGGTCTCAGGAGCTCGGTGCCGGGAACCGGGACAAAACCCAAACACATTTATCTTATTAATCGCAGCGTCTTGGGGCCACAGGCCGTGTCGTCCTGGTCCCACGGAGAGGGGGCTGCCTAACTCCGCAGATGGCTGGTCCTCGGGAGTCTGCTCCACCAGGGTCGTATTGTAATCACAGACTTGAAGCAGAGGGTGAGTCTGCAAATCTGTGACTAGAGGAGGATTT